AATATTGCTATTCACTCTGTAGAAAATCTTTGTGTTGTTTTTGATGTCTTCTTCCAAAAAGAATTTTAACAATGTTGACATAAAATTTAAGAAAACAAGGTCCTAATTTCAAGATATGTAAGCTATACATAAATGGAATAAGAGATCAGTACTCAGTGAGGCTTTCACTCTATCAAACCAAAGATCATTAGTAAATATCCAAATGCAGATTGTTTGTCTTCTTTTTTTGTCAATGCTGATTTTCCATGCTGTTGATTAACATTGCTGGTCATTAATAAAATAAATTCAGTGTTTGCCATTATTGAGCATTTATGCTATATTATGGACCTATATTCACATTCAACTTTCAAGTGAAAAATTCTGGTTGGAACCTTTCTTGGTATTAAAGAGAAACATGACTGATATCAGGAGCATGAAGGCATTTTTTTCAGGCCTAGAAGTTGCATTTCATCACCATATCTTTCTCACCACAAAAATGCATAGCATGAATGGTGCATTCTATGACTGCACCACATCAGCTCCAGCAGCATATTCAGTATGAAAGGACATATTATTTTGACATCAAATATCAAAATCAAATTTTCACTGGTACAGTAACTCTGCACTCTTCTTACTGATGCATTGGCTAGGGCCAACCCACTTAAAGTGACTTCTGACAATTGTGAGACTCTTCAAAATGTTCATAAAATTTCTGTTTTCCTTCTAAATATCCTTTCAGAAAGTGAGAGTGTATTTAGAGACTTCAAATATAAGTTGCACCATGTTTCTGTATCATCATTATCAAGAGAGCTTGTTATATATAAGAGATATGATCCAGATGATAGATATTTTGAGCAAGGCCCATTGATGGACAGGATCATAAAAGAGGTTGTCAAATGGCTTCCTAATATATAGCTTGCTATGACTGAAGAAAACACAGATATAGAGTTCCTCTCCAGGTGTTTGAATCTTTGTTCTTTGATTCCAGATGATCTGTTTATCAAATGTCTATTTCTTATATGTTGTGTGATATGATGTGATCCTATAACAGAGGCAATGAATTTGACTGCACAAGCAGACTGGTTCTCATAAACTCTGAAAAGAAGACAGTGCATAGTGATAGTTACTATGTTCTCAACTATATAGCTTGAATGTGAAGAGAGTTCCAGGTATTTTCAGTCCTTTAAGAGTCTCCAATCTTAGCTTGTGAGATTAAAGGATGCTGAAATCTATGAATAAGTCTTCAGTCTCTTTCATCAAGATATCACTGGTGCATTTTCATGTCCTCACTTTTTGTGGCTTACAGAGATGTGGATCTAAGAAACAAGGATGGCTATGATTTCTTGAATAGCCACTGGTCTAAAGAAATAAAGACTGTCACATACTGTCTCTATGCTGAATGTTATAATCACTGAATTTCTAAATTTATTGAAAAACCATCCTTTCACCTTTACACTTTCTTAGTATCAAAGTATACTGACATCAGATCCTTTATTCCATCCTCAATCAAATGACAACTCCTCTTAAATAAGTAAATCTTTATATTGGCATCCCAAATATGAAAATGCCATTCATCTGCTTGATAACTTGACTGAGAAAGACTTTATCTTCTATATCCATACTCTGGCTGACCTCATCATAATGAAGTACCTTTCTAAAGTATCTGAAAAGAAATTGTGCACTCATACTCTTCAAGTTGTTGAAGATAGGCTCAAAATATCAAAACAGGATGCATTGGATGCTGTAAATAATCTGTTTCTGGGACTGACAGATGCACAACTCTGGCTTTGTCATCTCTTTGATGCAGAAAGCATTTCTGTTGATAAAGACATTCTATATGATAGCTTTCAGGAGGGAGACACTAATATCTGCCACTTCACTAAACATGCAGCCAATGGAGAGCCTCTTGTGGATCCAAACTGGATCACTCCAGTAAAGGATCAAAGAAAGGTCAAAGAGGAGCCCCAAACATTGGAACATGACTTGGCACAGGTTTGAAGTGAGTGGCCAAATGAGAAAGCAGCCATGTGTGAGTATAGAATAGAGCCAATACAGCATATCACTGATGGCATATGTATCAATATAATATCTGGATTTTTAAACACCAGAATTTCAGGATGAGCTAATGATAGGGTCATTGAAAGAAAGAGAATCCTTGAAACTGAATGTGGTTACAGGTGATGCTATTGTGATATACTGTTAGTAGTCTATCTGTTTTGATGAATCAACTCCAGTTGTGTTCTTTTCAAAAAATAAGGAAACATGCTGAGTACTTGGTGATATTGAGATAATGACTGAACACTATCAGCTTCTTGTCATAGTCTTTATTCAATGTTTGTGAGAGCAGATTCATTCAGACTGGTCTAACTCTCAATAAATGCTAATGATGACAACTATGATGACTATTTTCTATGACTATTTTCTCTGCTCCTCAAAGCTCAGATAACCCATTTATACCAGTACAGTATATACCAGTTTAAAATAAATCAAAAAATAGTATTTATATCAAAGCTATGTTATGATTTTTCCATTTTCTTTCTTGATTGACTCCTATTTATGTCTTAGTCAGAGTGCTTAGAACTGTGAGACAGGCTTAGTCACCATAATAGGCCATGACAGTTATTGTCCTCTGACACAATGATGCTCCTTGACAATAGACAATACTCTTTTGTAGACACTCATGACACTCAAGGACAACAAGCACTGTAGCTTAGGAACACACAATTAGTAGGTATATATTTATCTTGGGAATGAACAGCATATAAGTAGGATAGCTCTCACTGTATAACTCCAGCTTCAAGCTAAAGTTTATCTTCACTATTCTATCTTGAGCTGACTTGTAATTGGCCTTGAGACACAACATCACACAAGCACATATAGTGAACTTGAGTGTGACTGTATAAACTCAATATAGTGCTCATTTATCATGTGTTTAGGTCATATGCTACTTGGGCTTAACAAGCTATTAGAGTAGATCCTATCATTATTACCACTCAGAACTAAAATGTTATACAGTCATTACCATACTTGATGTCACCCTCAAAGCTCTGCTTTGAATTAACCTCTTGCCTTGTTACTTGGACTCAGTTGAATGATGCAGCTGTAGTATTATCACAGAATGTAAGTGGTAATTCATTTTAGCATAAATTATTGTATTCAGAAGGATATAAGCAATGATGAAAAAAAGTCAACTGACATACATACAAAAGGTATCTTGATATATGTATTATGAACTGTACAGTGAGACTACAAATACCCAAATGAGAGTTATGAAAGTCATCTTAGGAGTTTATTTTTACTTGTTCCTGCTGCAAGAATCATTCAGCAGCATCTCCTAAAATAGAAGGACAAAACATGCCTGAAGCATTTTATGATCAACTCCTAGCTTACAAGAATGTGAACTCATGAAAAGTATCACTATTGGAACCTGTATTAATTTTTAGCCATAGAGGTACATCTTTATGAGGTTTATTTCTTCAGCTAATGCATGATCTGAGCTGACCTCTCTTTCTGTGACTCTGCAGCTGTCATTGAACAGCTTCACAAAACAATAGGCTTTGATTACTGCTTTTGCTGTATCACCTTCTGAACCAGATATAGGACAACTGATGGGAGGGACTTGTGACTTATAAAGTGGAGGAATTTTGCAGAGATGACTAATGAATTTTTCTAGTCTCATGCTTAAGTGCTAAGAACCAAAGCCATAATATTTTCCATTTGTACACAAATTGTCTCAGATTAGTTGACTATCACTTTTCAAACTCTGTATTCACAGCATTATACCATGTGAAGAGGTTTTGTTACCTCAGATGCCAGGTCTTAGCATCTTTGCTTTAGATCTTGGATATTGGCCAGATAGTATGGAAACCATTTTTAATTAAGAAATGGACTTTACAACTGCTCTCTTTTATTCATTGCCACAGCAGCTATTGGAGGTGGGCATGAGTTGAGAATGATATTATGAAACTGTCTCACCACCTTTGATTGTGCAACAACATCTTTTCCTTCAGAAAGCCTGTGGTCTGGGCTACATGCCAATACTTATAGGGTTTTCAAATATTTATCTGATTCAACTATGCAGGTCACTTCATCAGGCACAATATACTAGCAGAATAGTGATACTCTAGTCTTCTTGATGTGCCATGTGTGGATAGTGCTTGCAATGCCTCCAGAGGTTTGAGTAAAGCAGATAAACCAATGGCATAGTGAGTTAGTAGCTATAACTTTTGTTACAGAATCTGATACAGTTATTTTGAGTGATAATAACTTAGATTGATGACTATTCTAAGTACTATATATGTAGGATACTTGGATACTATACTGTTTTTAAGAACCTATAGGACAATCTATTTGGGGGTCATAGTATTTTCTGATCTGTCTAATTTAGCTGATCATAGAAAAATTTCTATCCATTAATAGCATTTGCTAGGCTGACTATTTGAGCAATCTGTCTATTCATTTGATAGTATCTGCTGAGTTGGCTACCTGCTCAGAATATAATGCTGATGGTAACTAAACACTTCTAAATAATATATAAATTTTTAAAGTATTAATGTCCAATAAAATAAGTGTCTACTATATGTAGAAACTTATATTGGCATATCAAAAATCACTCTTGCAGCCAAACAGACTTTAAATCTTCCCTTCAAAGTATATATTTCAGCTAGAAATTTTTACACATTGCAAAATATATAATAAGAGTAAAATGATTATATATTTTTATCATCTGTTGATTTTCAAAGTGCATCTTTTTCTGATAAAGAATTATATAGAGTAGTTGATATATCAGTATCAGTTTTTTACCATGTTATAATCAAATAAATCTGAAACTTGTTTTTCATGATGATATTTTAAAATGATCATCTTTTTAATATGTAGTGTTGATACTTTGTTGATGCTTTATTATTAGTTTTTACTGTGTCACTGCATACTATATAAGAAGGGATTTAATGTGTATCATATCTACTAATTACTCTCTCTAAGCCTCTTGCTTGCCTTCTATCTTCACCCAGACTTCTCCAATGGTCACTCAGATCAATATACTATCAGATCCTACTGATGCAAACAATGCTTTCATGTCTCAAGGCTTCAATGCTGCCTTGAATTCAATGATACTGTGCTCTCTATTAAATGGTATGCAGATTTATTTAAACTTGTGATATTTGTATTTATTATAACTATATAGAAATATATACTGGAATTGTTGCTGTTACACTTTGGAATATCTGTGAGTGAAATATATCTGCTATACTATTTAAGCTGAGATAAACACAGTTATATACAAATCACAGTCTATTAGACAGGCTATGATTGCTATTATAATTCTTCTTTATATTGCTAGTACTATCAACTTTGCCTTTGAATAGTCAATTATAAATTCTGCATTTATCAATAATAGTCAGAGTTTTTGGACTAGATATCTATTTATATACAATTCTAGTCAAATAATATTAGGAGCTAATATTACAAGTGCTATTAGTACTATTCTTGCTGACTCCACAATGGTATGTATGATAATTCTAATTTATAATATAGCTCATTGACATCTCATTATAGATTTGGCATTATTGGATAGTCTGGGGCCAGCAATGGCTCATTGTTCTGCCTCCTATATTTTTGCTTGTTTCTGCAATTGGTAAGATCTCTCACATCTTTTTATTTTATTAATTTACTCAAAAGTCAATGTAGTCTTCAAAATTATTATTACTTATAATGACTATATCATGATCAACATCTCTACTCTTGATTATATCCTCTATTCATCTTTTACTCTTGCTCCCACCTTATGGTGCACATTATCTATCATCTACCACATTATTACTGTTGCACAAGCAGAAAATGAAATAGAAGGTGGAATCAGAGTTTATTATCCTGTTATTAAAATCTTGGTGGAGTCATCAGCACTTTATTCTATATCCTTGATTTTATATATAATCTTCTTTGCTTGTGACACTTCTATAACAGGTTACTTTGACTTTCTAGCAGCAATTGCAAGGGTATGTCTACATTCTGTTGTTGACTTTATATCTGACAGACATTATATAGAGCATTGCTCCAACTCTTCTTGTTGGACAGGTTGCAGCAGGTCATACTCATCCAAATGATTCTTAGCAGGGAAGCACTGCCTCAAGCTCACTTCACTTTGGGACACATTCTGGAGGTCATGACTCCCAGCAGGACTCCATATTGAATGATGACCTTGAAGCTCAGCAGATGATAGATGATGAATATGGCCATTACACTGCAGTGGAATCCCAGGAAGATATTGGTATCAACAGTTCAGAGAGCATCATCCATAGAGACTATAATGGGCTTGAGGTGTTGGAGATACAAGTATAGTTGGAGCAGTTTGGTATTTATATTTCATATTATTTAATTCTTCCATTTCTTCTGTCTACTTACATACATACTGTGTATGCATAATATTTATATCTCATAGTTTTATCTGCATACCTGCAGCAATTGACAATAAGACACTCAGACAAATATCCACCCACTCATAAGCTTTTATATCTTTTCTCAACTGACCTATGAACTAATGTATCTAAAGTCAAAGGCACACATACAGTGGTGATCCCACCATTCTTCGACACATATATAAGGAAGAAAATGCCAGTGAGTACACTTGCAATGCTTTTCCTCTCAGATGATCATATCAACCCTGTTAATTTGTCAAATACAATCCTACACTATCCTTCAAGCCCACTTCTTTACATCTTCGGTAGTAGGCCCAGTAGGATCATCCGACGCAGCAAGATCACGCTGGTGGAACGCCCGAACCTGGTCCGAAGTGAAAGCACCGACGACGCTATGCAGCACGCTGCGATTATGGAATATGACCAGATCCTTCTCTTTCCAATCGTTCGGGTACACAAGCTAAGAATACAATCAAAAATTTCCCCTACACCCGACTAAAAGTAACCCACCTTTGGTGCAATAGCCGGACGTTGCATCTTGTACAACAACCCTCGCACCTCCTTCAAGTCCGTAAGGCGCGCACCATCAGGATACAACACACCTTCCTTGCTCTTTCCCTCCGGAATCGGCTCAACGAGCAACTCCGCAGTTTAACTGCACATAGACGGATACTCAGTTTGACTGCATGACACTAGCCATGGCCTTCCTCGTTGGAATGCTCTTTTCGAGGCTGGAAATGTTTCTCTTTGCATCGGATCCATAACCTTTCGAAATTGCCATCGGAGATCCGTACCAGTAACCCTAGTGTCTCGTCCTTCCTACATTGTTCCAGTGCCAGGGTATGAAAAGCAATACTTCGAGTCTGCTTGCACAAAAAGCCATTAATGAGGGGGATGCACAATGCCTTACACAGTGTCTTGCAACCGCGCATTATTCACTGTTGCTTATTGCTCCTATTCTTCCTTCGTCAGCTCCTCGTCGACATTCAGGCCCGCTCAGATGCACTGGGACATCGGAAAACAAGTAAGGCCCAAGACGATGATGACGTACCTACTGAGGATCTCGCGTTGAATGCTCGTAGACACAGTAGATGTTTTGGTCGTTAACGAGAGATTTCATTCGTTCGAGCTCAGGTATCTTTTTGGTGTGTACGAAGGGGGAAGTTATCCCGGATGAAGAAGATGGGAATGGATTCGAGCGATGAATGATTGACGGAGTTGCTCGTATCACTGCTTACTCAGAAGGGAATGAGTAGCTAGTATGTATGGTAAGAAGAAAGGCACATTTTGTTTTGCACACCATTTTACGTCTTAGCACCACTACGTAACAAAGACCTGTCGTTGTCGTCCTATTGATCTTCACAGAATTCTCAACTTGGATGCAGTGATCAAGCGCATCCCAGGTGGTCATCTTGCCGTACCGACGGGACTTTCCCCAAACGCACAGACACAGAAGCTCGTCCCGCCTAAACTAAACCAATCAGACGAGATCAGGTCTATCAAAAGAATAGAAGTGTAATGACTTACGAATGCATCACTGCGTGCTTCGATATCCCCCGAGTGAGAGAATATTTCCAGCGTTATTGCCATAAACTGGGAGATACGAGAGTCGAGTTCAGATAGGACCCCAAAAAATTGATGCTGGCTCCCTCAAGACCAGGTAGCCTCGGACGCTTGTTCCCCACGACCTCAAGACCGGCCAGGACAAGAACACACCGCATTGCAGAAAAGACGGTTTCGTAAGAAACGCGTAATTCATGAATAGGGGAAGTAAATTGATATCTACGTGTTATCATCTATCATCAACCTGGACGCGTCAAGGAAGAAAGGGACAAACGTACCTCGACTCTGAAGTAATGGTGCCAATCCGCTTGAAGAAGTGGAGGTAATCCCTCGAGAGGGTTACATCCTTTCCGGCGTCTATGTTGATCGTAACTGTTCGACTCGCGCCTAACGCTATGGCCGTAACAAGGGTCCGAGGAATCGCCAACGGAAGAGGCTCTACCGACAACCTGACACGCAGCCGAAGGATCTCGGACGCCCACATGTCGACGAATCTCTGTGCCAACCGAGATGTCGCAAACTGCAGCATCGCACTCTAGATCGTCGGGAAAGTGAGTGACTCGCACAGGCAACCAAAGGATGAATGGCGTACCCCTTGCTCTTTCAACAGCGCGGTAGACAGTACCGGCCCTTGGTCCTTCTCGAATTCTGATATCCATGAGCGGAGAGTCAGGACGAATGTGGGATGTGAGATGCGGGAAATTTTGACGCGACATTTAACCTTCCCCTGGTCAGCTTCCTCCGCCGGGAACCACCCAGGGAAGATGTATCTGTCGGGGTTCATTCGGAAGGACACGTTGATGCCGTTTTCTCTCAGGTCCACCCAGGCCTGTGACAGAAAAATTAGAACGAAAAAAAAAAAAAAAAGTTGATAGAAACGGCGGAACGCGCCTTGAACGCCTGGTGCATATCCAAGTAACGCGCTGTTGCCGTCCTGTTCGGCAGGTCGAAGATCCAGGATTGCAACACACCATGCCGAGAAAGTATCTCCAGGACGTTTCCTTCCTGGACTTCCTTGGGTATATCCGTCAGTGCCAGCGACCGAGACATTCCCAGTCTCCCGAGGGCGGCAACATCGACAGCAGACAGTGGGGGTGAGAGAGCATCATCCATCTTCATCACGGCTCCCACCATCCCGCTGCCCGACACGATACACTGCCTAGCCATGTCCTCGTTGAAGAACCGGACGAGTAGGTGATCCTGGGCGACAGTTATCGATTCGGCCGGGTTCGCTTTGATAGCAGCCAGGATCCTGTTGACATTGTATCCTTCTGGAAGCGGTTCGACGCGTATGGTGCGAGAAACGGGGCCAGTAGAAAGTGAACGATGGATGATACGGTTGGCCGGAAAATAGTGAGCAAGACGCAACATGGGAGAAAAGGTAAAATGTTCCCACGGTGACTACCTCTCTATTTCACGTTCCTGTTTTACATAAATACAGGGCATCCCGCTTCCATTCATTTTCCCGCATAATTTTTTTGCTGTCCTCCGCGTATCTCTAAAACCAAGTGCGTACAATCGCTAGGACTATTTTTTTTCTTGAATGAACCGAAATGGTCTGAAACACCTCTCCAGCAGAAGAGCCGGTCAAAATTTTGCCTGACACTACTGCGGAAACGCGTGTACAGTAACAGTCTTCCCCCCCACGATGGTCCGCATCCCCAAAAGTTGGAATTCCTTCTATTCTTCATGCACAGATCAAAGATCCGCGAAATTAATCTGAAACCCGGGTGACATCATCAAACTGGAGGTAGGCTGATTCCATATGCAGTATCTTGGGCAATAACTTCTGAAAGCAAGGTGTACATTAATAATTTGTCAAAGAACACACCCGAGACTTGTTGCAATTATGGGCCAACTGTCATACGATATTTTTGAAAGACATGATCAGTGAGAATGTCGACGAGGTCGCCCGACCGAAACCGTTATCGTTCCAATTTCCTCACTGATGGGACCTTCGCCAAAGTTCTCACGTTCACCGCGTGCGCACGTTCTTTCTCGTCGACTTTTCTTACCCTTCAAGTTCCCCGTCTTTCATCGTTGCGTTGCCATGTTCACTACGCTGGGGGTTAGCGGGCTGTTCCGTCGGACTTCCCCCTCTCGTAAAATTATCTGGAGCGTACTGACAGGATCATCATCAATGCCTTCTGGAATATTACTTGTCGCGGGTGGAGTCAACTTGATGCCGCCGCCCTCTCGCCATTATGTTCGTCTCCGCGACGCCTGGACGATGACCATGGCTTCATTTTACATATAATCCATCTGTCGCGAAGCTGGAACTCGGACCAGGATCGGCGCATTTCCTTTGACTACAAGTTTTTTTTTTTTCAATCGACCTGCGATGGCTGTGCCGATTCAGCCCCTATGTGCAAAGATCTTGTTGACATCATCAGGCGGCCTCTTCGCCATCATTGATTTCAGCGACAGCACCGTCTTTCTTTTCGATTTGTTCCACAGCAGGATCCTCCGTATAAATTGTTAGCAGCAGAGCGATTCCCAGCCGCCCTCTTGACTTCGACTCGACATCTACGACAATCCTTACTAGCACCCACACAGTAAGCTAGTATCCATCAAACGAATTAAACACTTAACGATATCTGCACTAGATTTCCCACTCAGTCGCGTGTGCTGCATTCCCCCTCCCTTCCCCCCTTCATGTCGATGCTTCCCCAAGAAATAATAGATCAAATAATCGCCTACCTCCACGACGACACTCAATCACTTCGCGCATGTTCCACAGTATACCGCACATGGACGCAATCAAGCCAACGCCATATATTCCATCACATCAGCATCGATCTCCAGCCCTCTAGCAGCATTGTACCGACATTTTCCCAATCCCTAACTTCAACGCCTCACATCGCCGAGTGTTTGCAGCACTTATCAGTCAGCGAAGAGACTTCCTTGGGACGGGCTGACAACCCCGACATGCTGTATTCTATACACAGCCTCACAGCGCTCTTTCCGGTGCTGGTGAACCTGACTACCCTCCACATCAACTTCAATTTTTCACCATGGGAACCCAGCCACGACATGGAGAATATGCTTCTCACCGCAGTTCATACTCCAACCCTCGCCGAGGTCACTTTTGCCTCTATCAGCTCGCTGCTCCATCCCCGGACTGTCCTATCCTTGTTTAGGGGAACATCTGTCAAGAAGCTATTCATCCACGACTGGGAGGGAAGTGGCACGGTTGAAGGTCCTGTTCCACCGGGTATCCCCTTACCATCGATCTCATTTCTTTCGCTCTCTTTCAACTACTCAATGGCTAATAAATGGGATCCCAAAACTTATATCGGCGACTTTCCGCACCTAGCAACTTTCCGGGTCGTCGTTGAATACTGGGATGAGCTTGTAGCACACTGCCGCGCCATCGACCGAAGGTTTCCTAGTATTGACACGTTTCAATGTCACTGGGAGGGCGCCCATTTCTCTCGTGAGCTATCCCTATGCATCTGATTACACCCTGCTACTCGGTCCTTACAATCTACTTCTAGTTAGTCCTAGAGATTCCGGTCCTATCTCTGTCCCGGACATTACGCACTTCCGTCACATCCACCTTACAATCAATGCTCGGCACGCCCACTGGGTCCAGGTGCACCAAATCGTATTGTGGTGGGGATACGTCTTTCGTAACGCTGGCAATTCTATTATCGAGACGGCAACGTTGTCGTTCCCTATGCGGTTTCCTCTGGCGTCCGGTTCGGAAGAGGCATCGTGGTGGCATACTCTAGATTCCCTTCTAGCGGACCAGCGATTAGCTCGCCTACACACCGTACATCTCGAGGCTATACAATACCGGAACAGTACCAATGTTGATCGCTTGGCGGTAAAGTCAAGGGTGGAGGTCGCTTTCCCGGAACTTTGTAGGAGGGAAATGATACGATACTAGATCTGTATAAAAAGTATACTATGACAGACTAATTATATGCGTACAGACCGTTTGATGATTCTTAAACTCAAAATATTAGACATTGTGTACCATGGCCCTGCTCTACTGTTCGTAAGCTTCAAGTCACCATTGGGGTAAGGTTCAGGACTGACTGTCTTCCAAGAAAGCGTCGGTAAACAATCCTGAGATGCTTCAAGTTGCTGCTGTTAATGAGCGAGGAAACCACAGTGTATAACTCTCCGACTCGGAATCAGCTTCCCTGGACCCGGTCTGGCTCACCCATTAGTATGGGGACCGCCTGTTAGCAATACAGCGCGCGAGGATAATTAATCTAGAAAGATAATAACTCGGATGTGCGCTCGGGATAAAAGAGGCACGTCTGAAGTAGAAAGTAAAACTACGAGAAATATATATGTGAGTCCATTGACAGTTCAAACGTACGTAGCAAACAAAAATAGAAAGAAGACAGCCTAAATACTGCTTGGCCCATTGATATATACGGGCCCGAATGCAATGCGAACTTGCCTCTCTGATACCGCCTGGGACCGCCGATCGAGCGTTAAATATGGAATCGTTCAGCATTTCGATGTCAAGCTTATCCCGTCATCAGATCGCGGTGCCTGTTGTCACAAACCCCTCTGCTAATGGTCGGCGATGGCTTCAGAAACGGTGTGTTATATATAAACTGATAAGTGTTGACATAGTCTAACTTTGTGGGGGTGTTTTATTTGATGAAGGTGTTTGGATGGTCGCACTATTACTATGGTTTGGTCGAACATCTTTACTCCGATTATGTGTCAAGCATGCGCTCGGTATCAATTTATGTCTTCCTCCAGAGTCTGGCGCAGCCATTTGTTACTGAGATGTTGACTCTGAATCGTGTCCCTTCCGGAATGCTCGGCGGTGCGCTTCAAATTCTTCGGAGGCTCACTCCCCCTGAACAGTGGATGGTTAGGAGTTCTGATCTCAGATCATCCTTAGAGCAAATATTGCTTAACCTTGACATCGTTGTTTCTTGACGTGACTTTGACCTTGTTCACGAGCAAAAGCAATGTAAGGTCAAGTTCGCGACTTGAATCAAAAAGTTCACCCAGCTACTGCTTCCAACCGTTCAGAACCCTTCAGACCGTTGAACACACTACTTCTGTGATAGACTAAAATATGGTACAGGAAGGTACAACACGGCGAACGCGCAAGTCATTGCTTTGACACAATTACATCGTGCATGGAAAGAGAAGAACTATGCCTTCACGGAGTCTAATTATGCCTTGGCCTCAATAGGGGCATCATCTGGTTGGATATATCGCGTGAGATGAGTCTCTTTAATGAACGCAGTAAGCTCACCCTTAGCTGATACATCTTCAGGTACAGGTGAAGCAGCGGCGACGGCTGTATTGATAAGTTCCTACATGGATCAAGCTAATCAGCTTCAAGAACGTGACCGATATGCAGCAATCTCACCAAAAGATTCTTCGGTATGGCACCTATTGTAGTCGCTATCTTGTTTCCATCTTTAAACGCAAGGAACGTAGGCATCTAGCGAAGGCATCAGACCGAAAAAGCGCTGACAGGATACCAACAAGTACGCACAGAAGAAACCTGGACCTCGTCCATGATTTCAGGCTGCTCGTCAGCATCGACGGTATAAAATTCGACGCCGGCGAATTCAGGCTTGTCAGCGAGTTTCTTGAAGACAGGTCCAATCATCTTGCAGGGTCCACACCATGTCGCCCAAAAGTCGATGACTACGGGTTTCGGGCCGTCAATCTGCGGTCACGATGAGACATCGATGGTAAAAGATAAGAGTATGCATGTAACTCACGATTTTCCTGAAGTCGGCGAGAGAGTCAATTGCTTGGGGTGCCATTGGTGGTGGTGGGTAATGATGTTGGCAGTCTGTCTTGGTACGGATCTTTTATACTTCCCCTTCCCGCCGGCTTGTTCAATGGTGAGCAATCACGCCATCTGACTAATCGTTTGTAAGTTGGTCACGCGTCGGATTCCGCATCGGGATTGGCTACCAGTCAGCCTCACTGGGTAGGCTTTCGCGTCGGTCGTTCACTATTATAAATCCTCTAAGCAAGTCCTACGTCTTTCGATTTGGCCGACGGCTTCTGGCGAAAGGATGCAAGGACGATATTTTCTTTGAACAAGGCTTGGCAAGATGAAAGGATGTAGATTGATAACGGCCGCGCACTGGGAACATCTATAAAGGAAAGGAATTTTATTTGTTCAACAGCAATGTGATTCTATAATGGGTGACTTCCCGCAGCATTTAGAAACATCGATTATTTTCTAAATCAGAGATGCCGAGCGATGCCGATATAACAAATTGGATGAGCGCCACAATTTGATGGGAAACACCCTCGTCTAGATTTTAGTCTAGACGACCCCTCCGACCCCCCCTTCTAAATCTAAATTATGTTTCTAAACCTTTGATAACCGCATTTGGCAATTCCATCAATCTCGATCTCTATTTGGACCTGTTAGTTTCCGAGGCGTCTTCTTCCACTCACGTCGCCTCTCATGTACCTACCACTGTCCTGCCGCGCCTGTCTTCAGTCCAAAGCTCATTTTTGCTCTGCTAGCCTTGTATCCTTGTATTGAATCTTTGGTGGACCTAACAAATACTGTGAAGTGCCTATAAGGCTACTTCCCAGCTACTTTCTTGAGAACCGACCATTTTTTTCCATCCCAACTACTGTCCTTTTCATACCCGACTCGGGTAACTTTCTGAAATTCACGGCAGTAACAAACTTGTAAGGCAGTCCACTTCGGATGCCTATCGAGGCCTATAAAGTCCAGGATTAAAGGAAAGTAACACCTATCTCGCCTTTGTCTCTCGTTTCGGCCTCAGCTAACCCTCACCGATCGCTGTTTGTGTTTCCAGACCTAAATTGGTTTACGGTTTAGAAATATAAATTCTAAATGATTTCAAATTGGGACTTTGATGGATTTAGAAAATAATCTGTGTTTCTAAATGCTGCGGGAAGTCACCCAATTCCACATCACAAAAGCAACCAACCATCATGCATCATGTATCATCCATGTAATGATGATCATGATCATTTCTGTCAGGGCTGCGTGACTTTACGACTCGCAATCAAGGGTGCTGCGCTGTCATGTGACCGGGCGCATTCTGCAGTATTGCGGCAGCATGAACGACTATCAGATCGAGTGCGAGAGCTATTGGCAAGATAGGACTTTCGTTGGGGAGGATGAACCAACCGTTTGTCCCGAAAAGCTTTTTAACTGGAACAATGATGAAGAGGGCTGTGAAAGGCTAGGATAATTCCTTGTTCTTGACATCTATGTCGGGGATATTTCGGCGAGGTGTGTATTAGGGAAAATGTGGGGCAGACAAGAAGTACATGCAGTACGTAGGTTCTGAGTTGTACCGTCTAGGAATGTCATACTGTATCCATTTTGTCATTGATTTTGAGTATGCTTTCAAGGCCACCATCACCAGGTTCACGCAGAGGCTCATGAGTATTCATACTCCCTTCAACACCGCTCATACAATCTGATTGATCCAGACTAGAGGAATGCGCCGTCATCCGCCCACCTAGCCTTGAATCACCAAGTGGATGCGAAGTCGTAGTAACAACCCCGCAGTGATATCCTTCGCCGCCCACTCTTATGGCCCATTCTTGCGTTGTTTGCTGAAACGTCTCGATGGCCACGTCAAGCATTGATCGCAGGCAATCCATTGTGATAATCAGCGTAGGATATATTGCCTGTAGATGAATATGATTAAATACGGTAAGGAATGTGACGGGAATCATTTTATACGGACCGTCAGTTGCGAAAGGACGTCTATCACGATGTAGATGAGGTTGTTTCCGCACCCACAAAAGCTATGATGGTTACAAACTGTTGTGTGATGTATTAATTTTCCATTCACAATCTCCACTTTTCCTCGTTTCCTTCTACTGCATTGTACATAAGCGAGCGGTATGCGTGCAGGTTCAATGTGCCAGGGTGTACGTTGCGAGTCCAATGCGATGGGTTGACACAAAGTTTTATATGCTTGCCATCGCAGCGCCCAACGTGTCTAGCCTGCTTTTTTTTTCCATTGCCAGATGATGTCCTCTCCCCCTGCTGAGGAATTATTATACCATGATCTTGACAAAGAGGTTGGCAACGGTTCCTCTTTGCTGGTACTTCTCTATGATTGGAAAGTCGACGAAGAGGGCTTCCCCAATAAAGATGTGCTACGGTCAGCACTAACTTATACATGCCTTCTGTTGCTCGGAAGATAGTTCTGGATCGCTGAAAAAAAATATCTATTCGGAGCTTACAGGTCATTTCTCAGAGATTTTCAAAGCCTACAGTAACAAGGTGAGTATTAGTGGTCAATAATTCAATGGTTCTGAAACGTCTTGTTCGTGCTCCAGTCTTAACCATACCGAAGAGCACGTTCGGAATATTCTCCGTCTCACTCTTATTTTGTCAGATGCTGACAAGCTGCTGTAGAGTAAAGTGGGAGCAGGCTGCTACTTGATCTGAATGAAATTTCCTTTGTAGGAGTAATAGAAGACTATGCTACAGGCCCGGGCAAGTGATCAACACGAATACCGCGTGTGCTCGCTGCTATAGACAAAAACCCGTGGCACTTATCCGACCAACAGCTGTCTCCTCTTGCGCTGAGCATGTCTTCATTTCCAGTTCCAAAATTTAAAGAGAACGACATCCTCAAGAGAGAAATATTTCCTAAAAAACTGAACACGAATGATGCTCAATATCTCCCTCGAAGGTGGGTAGCCATTTTTGTTCCTGAAATGTGTCAGCTTTATCATGCAACACGACGGGTTTTGACCAAATTTTGACTTCTTTCCGAGTCCAATCATTGTTCTATCCTTTTGGTCGGCGCTAAACGGTGGTTTCAGGAACTAGGAAAATGGACGGCCTACCCAATCTTACCTCGCATAACCTTCTGGGCAACAGAAATGTACCCTGAATATTTCCATCAGAGTGAAAAATAGAAGTGCCAAGTTGGTGCCAAGAAATGATTTTGGACATGTTTTCGACAAATCAATACATATCCGAGGAAACATTTCTCCTCGCACTGAATTATTGATTTCCAGCAGCGTCCAGCTCAGAGTAGGAAACAAAATGAGCTAGTGGAGACAATATTTACATTGCAGTGAACCTGGCAGGGCTGAGTATGAAAACTCTTTCGGTAGATTGATCGGCACACTGCTGTTATAGGCTGCGGCTTGCTCTCCCCGTCCAGTGAAGTTTTAACTTGCGGAGGTCGTCGAACAGCTCTACGTCGGACCACCTAGAACATTGGACCTATCAGAATACATAATATTTTACTCCATGACAGTTCCGAAGATGGCTCTCTACAATCCAACGCGTGTGCAGCGTACTTGGCAGGCCTAGACGGCTCTTCGAGTTTGGTACTTAAGTGGATCCTTAGTTGAATATTCTAACATCGTTCTTTGGTACTGCTTATTATCATGATGTTCAAGCAAGCTCTCACTTTGCTTCCTCTCTATCTGGTGCTCTGCGCAGCCGCACCTGGTCCCAAAGCCGCAGATCAGAACTTGGATGCTCGAGTTTCATGCACTCCTCCTGCCTACATCTATTGTTGCACCACGCTGACCTACGTATGTGTCATGAATATCTGCGTTATTCGTGGAACTGACCGTACCACAGGTATATAATAGCTACGTCGGGATTCACTGCAATCCCTACAGCAATTGTGCGAGCCCAGTCTGTTGCACTGGTACGTTTGACTATGTGGGTTTCTGTTCTTGACATCTGTTGTATGATGATAATAATCTTTCTAGACCCAAAACAGTATCGGTGGCTGCGAATACGTGTGAAAGGATGGCGCGAGGGATGGCGCAGGCTAGGAGGTTATTCGACGACGTCGATGTGCCTATTCTTATCTGTATTGCCCGCATAAGTCTCGAATGTCAGTTTCACACGTTTTCGAGAGCACCGAAAAAAAGTCAATTCAGTTCTCCCATACTCCATCTTAGCCTGGACTTGAACAGACGATGAAGCGAATCGAGACCTTTTCCAGACCTGCGACGGAGTAGTAATTGTATTGGCGAGGTGGTGAACGTATGTATTCCCGTTCCTGTCACCAAACTGAACATTAGGCAGAATGTAAACATTACGAAAGCAGCCGCGCTGGCAGAGGCAACTTGACACAGAACCCGTACGGGGCACCCGACCCAAAATGGGTATAAAAGCGATATGTTGAACCGTCGGAGACTGTATTGCTAGGCTTCCGGGTCCATACTCAAACGGAGTGAGTGACAAATGTAGATTACATCTGTGGCGAACGCAACAACAAAATATACTACTAGAAATCTCCTCCGAGTCCGAAATGAGTGAACACGTAAGTAAATCCATACGAAGACCCACGGCGACTGACTAAGAAGCCCGAAATCTCACCTGTACCCATGCGTACAGAGTATTGACGTTGTTTCCGACAGGTTTGTCAGCACAATGATGCTTGTACCTCCCAGACATGGGTTTTGCTTTCCCGTACTTCAGAAGTTCCTCAACCTTGAAGAGGCCAGAACACGCCTCGCTCCATGCACCTTCCCTGTGACTGCTGTCCACATTACAAGCCTGAGATATAATAGTTTACCCAGGAGAGACAGGAACGGTGTAGATCAGCAAGCACTGATAGCAAAGTTCCGAATAGATGCCGCTACAGACCGATGTGGCGCTTTGGACTGGCGGATACCTGTATATAAGAGGGCGCAGATCCTTAGCACCGCCATCGACACAATGTGGAAGCAAGCTCTCACTTTACTGCATCTCTACTTCATCTTCTGCGTGGCAGCCCCAGGTCCAAAGGTCAACTCTCCGGAGACGACAGCGACATGCGCCCCGCCTGCGCAAATCTGGTGTTGCAGTGAGCTCAACTTTGTATGTGCTGTAGATATATCACGCCGGACGTAAAATTCATGGACAATGCTATAGGTGTCTTACAGTTACGTCGGGACTGGCTGTGAGCCCTTCCGCGATTGCCTTACTCCAGTCTGTTGCACCGGAAAATACTACAGCGCGTGTTTCTATTCGCTCGTATGTGCTTGGCTGAACAAATACCTGCAGACTGGTGCCACGGTTGGTGGCTGCGAATACGTGTGGCCATTGGGAATGGGAAGTTCATTGATTTGAGCCACGCGCTTTATGTCAATTGTATTTCGCAAATACTATCGCGTATCACATATCACTGCTCCGTTCTTAACGCAAAATGATTGAGTCATTCCCAGACTGCATGCATGAAGAAACTAGGAGAAGGAACTGCTTCAGCAGATAACAATGTGTTTCACAAAACGTAGCAGCCCGAGATTCTGGTCTGGCAACTTGGTGTACGATGAAGCCGGCGCCGCAATTGGAGCAGACAAGAATAGGACTCTTTTCATCAAATAAGAGCTGGGGTATGATTCCATCAGCATCTCAATTGTGGCACAACCGACCACGGACCCGTACGCGCAAGGTTCGTGCCACAGAAGGTGAAGAAGTGGTGATCGTCGTATTAATTTTTTGATACTATCAAAAGGCTTAATATAAGAATGGAAAGTCTTACTACCTGAGCTTAGAACAGCCACCAAGATCGGTTTATCACAGATCTTCAGTGCATCTGATTGTCAACAAGGAAAGCATACTCACCATTTCAAAAGCTAAAAAAAAATTAAGAAGGCATGCAGATGGTGCGAGAACAGTTGAGAAAATGAAGAAAAATGGTCGGAATCCCCTTTGGCAGGATGGTGCAGAAGAATAGACGTTCCTGTCTTCCGACGTGTAATTTAATATTGCTATCCGTCTGGTGTTCTGCAGAATTGCACCAAGAGAAACAAAATCTACCATTTGGAACGAAGGAAGGCTCACCAGACCACCCGCTGTCCAAGAAACAAAGCAAAAAGAAAATGTGATTTATATAAATAATTCGACGGGTCCTCAAAAAAAAGCTTCCTGAAACCAAAATATATCGAACGCCCTTGGAAAGCCCGCTCACCACAGCTCGAAGCATTTGTTAGTCGCCAATTGCACGCGTTGATGTTGGGGAACAACGCGCTATGTTCACCATCAGCACCATTTCAAGTCTTCAGCCATGAGCACTGCGACGTATTGGGGTCCCCGCACGCAGCCCTTCTGGTTTGAAGCAGCGCCAAAAGGAAAGGCTTTGCCTTGCCAATTCTTCCAACCAAGGGAGTGGTTCTGAGTATCTTATGAAAAGTCGGTGTGCCGGCGAGGACAACAGAAGATGACGCGAAGTTTAGCAAGCCCTAGATAGCAAGTTGAGGTAGGAAAGCGATAAGCCGACCTTACCGAAAATCACCTCAGTTGAAAAACGGAAACATGAGGAAATGGCACAGCCCACCAGGATCACAGCGAAACTATGACTTGGAGAAAAATTCGACGGCATTAGATGTCTTTCGGAATTTGTATGGTACGTGTGGTGCATCACTGAATGCGATTATCAGCCTGCGAAATCTGCAACATGAAGTGAATATTGCTCCGGCGATATTTCTGTCTTCAGGACACGGTTCGCCTTCGACTTCGGAACTGGTGCTGAGCGAACCTCATCATCAGTGACAAAAATAAATCCCCCACAATATCCATGACCCACCATTCACATTCTCCGTTATATAGAATCGACGAAGAATCATAATAGCTTCCTCCCGCACATATCCACCAATCGCTTTGTACACCGGGTGCACAGGATGAGACATACTATCGCAAAATGAATGAGCGAAGCTCGCCCAATCTATTCGACAACCCACTCGTTCGTCCCCAAGACACTCCCACATCCTCCAAATCTGTCGTTCCTACAACCGTAGAAGACTTCCTTGATACCCAATTGCCTCAGTGCAGATCCACACATGATACACGGTTCGACCGTCACGTAGAGCGTCGTGCTCGATAGTGGGTACTGTGACAGCTCTGGTGTCTCAGCCAGAATTTCGTCGATGGCCTCTAGCTCTGCGTGTCGAGTAGCCTATAAAAGATGTAGTCCCGATGATCGCGTCTGAATACAAGGAACGCGCATACATTCCTAAGCTCGTTCGTCCGATTCCTCGCTTTGGCGATGATCACTCCGTCACGAACGAAAACGCAGCCAACGGGTACCTCACTCGCGTCGAGGGCCTCTTGGGCCTGCAAAAATGTTTGTACCGTCCCTGTGAGCAACGAATGTGAGCCTACCATCGCCAGGGCCTCCTTCATGAAAACTTCGTGGACCGCCTCCATCGCCGTGATGGTTCCTGCTGCTTAGCGCAGAGAGTCGAATGTGAACAACAGAGCCGTGGTCGTGGTCGTGGTTCGAGAGCAAGAGACGCAGCGGCCCGTGAAACTCCGATCTTTCCTTCCTGCCATCATGTAAGTATTATATTACCTGTGACGACACTGTTTTTCACTCTAACTTTCCTGATAATTCGATAATCTCTAGGCGAACTTCGATACTTTTCGGCCTATGTTTTTCGACTAACATTTCCGAAATCTCAGGTATAATTTTTTTCGTGTTGCTACTTTCGTCGTTGCGGACTCTCTTCTAGTATAAATCTGCCACATGTCGGTACTTGACAGATTTTCTTGCGACTCTGAGGGTTTACTATAATTTTATAAGGAAATATATGAGACGTGGTGGTAGTCCTTCGACTGTGTGGAATACCCTGAAAGGTAGGGAAGATCTCGATATATTGGGTTGGTACCTGGCTGATATGAGGCTCATTGCCTACCCAGGTAGCCCTCAACGTGTAATTCCAATTATTCTATAATTTATGTCCAGGAATATTTTGTTTACCCATAAATTTTCAAGATTGATAACTCTTCATGCTTCAACATTCGGAACGAAGTACGTCCGGTGTTCCTTTTGATCCATCTGAGCTGAACGTGCACATTCAGTTCGATGCCCACCCTATCTTACCTCAGTGGTATTCTCTCCTCTGCTAAGTAAGACTCGGGTGTGCGACTGGCGACTCTATAGCGCTGATCTGGTGTGAATACTATGAATGGTGCCCGTTCACTTCTGCTCTCGCCTTCAGAATGTGCCATCATCACCTGGATCTATAACCTCTGTTCGGAGCGGCTACCCCGATAACACTCCCATTCAGACCTTTCTTCGACTCCAGGTTCGATATTTCTATCAATTCCCATGGATCCCTGTCACAATGATAAGGAAACTACAGATTATCCCTTGTGGTCTCTTTTGTATAAGTATCCAGGAGACCTATTGCAACCGCCTCTTCATAGCTGATATTAACGTATCAGCTGGACGCGGACCCCCTCCCTGCACTGCCCCCCAGTATGGTGTTTATGCCACGGCCTGTATAGTCAGATCTGTTTGTGAGAGTAACCTGTGTCACTGTTCACATCGGAACGCACAATGCTGCGGGATATGCCTGCCGCTCTCTTCCCTCCGAAAGAAAAAAAAATAAATGGCAAATGATTGGAGTGGAGCACAATAAGGGTGAGTGGGCTTCTAGTCTATTGATGTTGCTTCTAGTAGGTGATCATCAATCACAGATACGAGTCAATGAACTTGCGAGCTGTATTCTCTGGTGTAGCTGCCTACACTGCGTGCTGCTCTCAGGCTCAGGCTGGTCTACCGATCTTGTCCCATGCAAGGAAAGACCAGCGATGCACATTCGTGTCTGGAAGACGACTCCTTGCATAACCACCGAAGCATCATTGATCGGCAATGGCGTAGTGTTGTTCCGCTGGAATTGGACTAGACTTCATGCATGATGCTTCTCCCTCAAAATGGTTTTCATCGGCCGCCGCTGATCTTCCAAGCCCGGACTCACGAATACACTCTCACTCGATAGATCTGAAGGTCGAGCTCCAACGGTGAGGGCCACAGATTCGCCACATCGTTCTAGTGTTATATGTATTTGCAGATTACTTCTCTCAGTCTCGGCGGATCATTCTTCGCCGTAAAGCCTCGTCAGTCAAGAACTAGTATTATCGCTACCGAAATGGATGATATCATACGCGATACCAGTGATAATGATGGAGGCGCCAGTCAGGGATGATCAGGACGCGGATGTGTCCCGGGCTGGTCAACGCGAGTCGATAATGATAAAATCGCTCAATATATCATCCTTCAATTAAAAAATTAATCTCATCATGCGCCCCTGGGCAATAATACTCACCGTGGATTGGAGCCGTACCACTCTGAAGCAACAATCACCACCTGCGGACCGTGAGTCCCTCCTTCAATCGATCTTGAATGACGATGTTTGGCTTAGCCCCATGGGGTGTCAAGGTGGTGGTGCCAATAAGAGACGACGGCTCTATCGATTGCAGGAACAATGAAACGCATTACCTTTTGGAAAGGTCAACGGGAAGGGCGTCTGTCAGGGTTTAAAGGTATCATTGACCAATGAGTGATGTTGGATGAGTCCCAAGACCTTCGTGTGCCTCACCCCTGACGAAGGCTTACGGTAATTGTGATGGACGTATCATAGTGGCGTCTTCTATGCGGTTTCTCATGGTCGGCAGCGAGTATTTTTCGATGTATTCCCATACACTAACTAGAAGCACAGATTCCTCAATATTGAAGAACGAACACGGAACCTGCCCTACAGGCTACGAGCCCTCTCACTCTGTGAAGTTGAATAGTCATATTATTAATAGAGTCGAACAGACCTAGGTTGATAGATATCAATGTATCGTAAAATTCCCCCAGTCAGAGCCACCAGCCACCAGCCACCAGCCGTGACTCCAAGATAATCCGCTAAGCCGAGATTTGATCGTAGTGCGCGTAAACACTGCAGCACACCGCGTTACTAAAGCGGTGAATAAGCAAGGAATGAGGCCTGCTTACTGGTCGTCTTTGAAGTCATCAATGATCATCGGACCAGCGACGTCGAAATAGTTTCTTGATAAACCATTCGTTCCGGAATTAGAATTACGGATAACCTTGGCGTGTGCGACGATAGTACAACAACAGGATGCATGAGTGTGCGATATGTCAAAACGAGACTCGAAAAGAAAAAAAAAACTGGCACGCGATGTCAGCCATGAATATATCGGTACAGAGGTTCTGAGCCTCACTGACCTAAGCCCTCACGGTATTCACGACCTTCCAGAGATCACCGTAAATTCCGCAATACTCCAATGACTTCCTGCAAATTATCCCTGTTCCATTCACCACTCCAGCCCTGTTTACGTTCCTTCCAGCCTGAAACCCCTACGTAACCCCGAGAGCTTTCCAGGTAATGAAGGAATGGCGTATCAGGGCGTGGCGCAATAAACAACGCCGGATCCCGTGAAACAAATGCATGCGGTGCCGTCCTGGGACGTCTGAGTTTTGGAGGAGGGTCGACCTTATCCAGACCTCTCTGTTTAGTGATGGGCGCTGATTTTGGGGACTTCAAACTGAATTCGATTGGACTCAGAGATGATTTGGACTCGGGTAGATGGGTCGTGGAAGAGAATTCAGAAAGAGTGCGGAGTCTTCCTGGCGCTAATGAAGGAGGCTGTGGGCGAGATGACGGGCCACAAGGTGATTGAATACGATCAGGTCTTAGAATGGAGGAGGAATGGTAAGTGCGGAGATGTCGGTCCGATAGAGCGCTCTCCTGAGAATAACAGGATGACTCTGAAGATGTACGGGATCGAGTCGCAATAGACCGATCATTAAAAGATGATTGCGAATGGTTGGTATGGTATCGCGAGGGGTGGAGGAAATTATCGGAAGGCGGCGCTTGGGTTGACCATGGTTCCGGCGCAAAATTACGTGGGACGTAGCCGGAAGGAGCAGTTTTGGGCCGTCTAGGCGTCTTGGAAGGATTCAACGTCTTCGGTTGCAGAAGAGTAGCGCCGTGAGGAAAGGTCGATGAGGCGGAGGGCGCTGCGGTGGTACGATACGAATTTATTTTCCCTTCGAGCGTATATGTGGGCTGATTTTCATCAGTACCACGCCGCTGGTGCTGAGGGACTGGAAGAACGATATCTGGAACTGGAGGCGGCACTGCAGATACAGGTTTCTTGCGTCCAATGCCGAGGCGCCTTAGAAGAGGGGAAAGGGAAAAGGAGGAACGCGATGTGCGGGTTGTTTGGAGAGATGGGCCTGCACTCGGCGTTGGGGAAAGAGTTGGAAAGGAGGTCTGGGAAGACGGGTCGGGTGAAGAGAAGAACAAGCGTGACTTCGATTTCTTCGGTTTATGCTCTATCTTGACCAAAGGCTTCGGTGGTTTGGGAGTCCCAAATTCTGGCACTGCATACATGGAGACAGGTGAAGGAGGACGACGAGGATGTCGGATGCTGCTACGACTAGAGGATGACATGGGGAGCTAGAGAAAAAGCTGGTGAATGACACCGGCAGAATCGAGTATATATGCGGTCTAGCAACGTAAGCAATACCTTCCGGGGTATTTTATAGTACGCTCCTCCAAGGAAAGGGGTGATGCAATCAGGCACCCACTTGAGATTCTTGGACAAGGTCCGAAGGCCGTAGGCGCTGACCGTTTCGTACGATGCTGGAGTAGAATGGGGTAAATAGCTTGAGATGTTTCGTCTCTGGTCTTTTGTCAAATTTAGAGTTTTGTGCGACTAGTGTGGGCGCTCAGCATGAGCAACGGTGGCAGCTGACGGACTGAACACGAATATGCAGTTCGTGATTCGTGGCAAGTGAGAAAATACCTCCGATCGTCAGATAAAAGGTACCGTATGAACGGATAACGCCGCAGTTATCCAATTAACGACGCGTGTTTTCCTCGGCGACCATCATTAATGTTTTGGTATCTTCCTTGATGAAGCCAAAAGAGATCCGGAGGATATTGAAATCGTCGTTGATTGTATGCGTATTTGGTCGTAGAGCCTCAAGACGTTTATATCTGGTATGGAACGACTACGATTACTGTCCAGTGAAGTCTGAAAGAATCGTAAAGGGTGAGTCTAGAAGATAGAAACAAATGGGTATAAATCAAATTGAAACCGCGTAAAAAGGGTCATCAAACCATGAAGCTTCCAAGTACTCTGGCGCACAAGTTCGTTTTTCCGAGTTGGCGAGGCGATGTTCTATCTAGAACTTGGCAATAAGAACAATAGACGTACACCATGCATTACACCATTAATTGAGCGGTTATGGCGATACCCCCTCACAAAAGATAGATGCCAACTTAATCATGGTCGATGTTCGAAACATCGATATTCGCTCCCCCCTTACCGCTGTTCCATCGACCCTGAGTAGGAAGGAAAACGTGATGAGGGTTGACGTCGATTTGAAAAGGCTCTTGTGAGTTCTTCGAGAGTCGGATAGTCGTATACGTTGCTGTAACACTTGCTTCTACAGGAGCCGGGTAGAAACGATATACTACAAGTTTTGATTCGGGATTTGTCGATTTACGGTATACCAGAGGTTCCACTAGTGGACATGAAAAATGTAGCGACTGTGCATGGGTGGCGCTCTTTCTGGACGCGCCACGGGTGCCATCCAAAGAATTGGTGTGTCGACTCTCTGGTAACGATCCGTAACACGTGGTATCTTCCGCGAAACCGGAAGAACATAGATGAAAATCAAAAGAGATTCTTTCCGGACCGTGGGAGGGGTGGTGGCAAGTCGGAATGATTTACTGATTGAATGGCGATTGGGTGTCACCCGCGTCCAGAGAAAGTCGTAGGAGCCAGGGGCGACAGTGATGCCATCGGGTTACACAGGAATTCACAGCGCACAGACGGTAGATTGGAAATTCCATTCCTCACACCAGAAGGATGTAGGGCGCACTCACGATTGTCTGCCGTCAACCGTGCGCCAAACTTACGTTCTCGACTAGAAGCACTCACGTCCACCGTATTGCCCTTGCCGCAGTACTCATGATCAGACTAAAATGCACAAGGTGAAAGGCAGTATTCACCTGCGCCACGATTGGTCCTGTCCCCTACGAGTGAAGCTTGCATGATAACGCCCGGAGTTACAACCGATATTGAGGGACAATGACGGTCATATACCAAGGAGAAATACATTTCGGGTCCGAAGCCCAGCCTGACATGCACCGAACAAAAAATTTGAGAGGCCGGATCTACGCACATGGTGGTGTCTAAAAAATTATCAAGCGGAAGGTACCTAAGTTTACAGGGAAAAAGTTTACACGCCTTTCAGTATCGAATGAGCCTAGTCTTGCGAAACTCGATTGCATAGAATTACACAACATGCCCGAGAAGCAAGTAGGCAATGAATGGCCGTGTTCAAAAGGATCTAGTTGTAAACGGTGTACCCCTAAGCTCTGAACAAGGTCCAGAAACGAGCAGCCGCCGTTGGAGAATGCATACTGCCATGGTGGCACCGATGCTATGCCGTCCCTTGTTTTGCAGTGTCGACGCCGTGAAAATAAATGTCGCTTGTACACCGCCTCAGAGCGTGAAAAGGCCGATAGCACCGGGAAAGTCTACGCCTCCAATGTTGTAGACCCTCGATGGTGATACGGCGCACCGACGCGCGGTCATTAGCAATGATAAGGATTGATATGGGGCAAACTCTACAAAACCAGTGATATGTCCATAAGTCACGTACGAGTTTCCTGCACGCACCATGAAACTTGACAGTCATCGAAAGGCTCCGGACCTGTCGATAGCTTTCCATATGTTACCTGCTTAGCGAGCCTGCAAAGGCATAGCTTATGAAGTCGGGCATCTACAAGTACGTCAAGACTTCAGGATGCGAAACGAAAGCGATGGCCGAGCCCAGATGATAAGCCGAAGCCTATCCTCCACCCCGGCATCACCAAGAGAGTTTTTTTTTTAAAAAAAAGGCTCGACCTGCTGATTTTCAGCGAGACTAATCGTCGGAGGTTGAGCGTCTGATGACGGGAGTGCCACGTATGGACTAACCGTCAAAGCCGCAGTGTCACCGCCACTGTTGATGAACGAAGCCCATTGACGAAGGATTGTTGCAGCTATGGTATCTGGATAGTCAAAACCATGAAAATTTCGCGTAAATCGCTAATGGATAGAGAAACCAACCAGAAGAACTGCGACAGAATCTTTGGTTAGAACCCCCCCTGCGCAAACACTGAGTTTATATAGACCTGAAACATGGTGTTAAATCCATGTTTATGTATGATGAGAGTGGTGAACGCACTCTCTCTGTTCGTCATCCTTTGAATTGGACATTCAGCCAAGGCGAAACTAGCCTAAGCAGGGTAAGCACATTAGTGACACGATGGCGCCGGAGTTAACGCACGTACTAGGATAGATACAATCGTTGTCCAGGCAACACGCATGGACCTGGGCACAAGTTATTGGACAAGAGGTAATACGCGTCAAGGAAAGTTAGAGTGAAAAACAGTGTCGTCACAGGTAATATAATAACTTACATGGTGGCAGGAAGGAAAGATCGGAGTTTCACGGGCCGCTGCGTCTCTTGCTCTCGAACCACGACCACGACCACGGCTCTGTTGTTCACATTCGACTCTCTGCGCTAAGCAGCAGGAACCATCACGGCGATGGAGGCGGTCCACGAAGTTTTCATGAAGGAGGCCCTGGCGATGGTAGGCTCACATTCGTTGCTCACAGGGACGGTACAAACATTTTTGCAGGCCCAAGAGGCCCTCGACGCGAGTGAGGTACCCGTTGGCTGCGTTTTCGTTCGTGACGGAGTGATCATCGCCAAAGCGAGGAATCGGACGAACGAGCTTAGGAATGTATGCGCGTTCCTTGTATTCAGACGCGATCATCGGGACTACATCTTTTATAGGCTACTCGACACGCAGAGCTAGAGGCCATCGACGAAATTCTGGCTGAGACACCAGAGCTGTCACAGTACCCACTATCGAGCACGACGCTCTACGTGACGGTCGAACCGTGTATCATGTGTGGATCTGCACTGAGGCAATTGGGTATCAAGGAAGTCTTCTACGGTTGTAGGAACGACAGATTTGGAGGATGTGGGAGTGTCTTGGGGACGAACGAGTGGGTTGTCGAATAGATTGGGCGAGCTTCGCTCATTCATTTTGCGATAGTATGTCTCATCCTGTGCACCCGGTGTACAAAGCGATTGGTGGATATGTGCGGGAGGAAGCTATTATGATTCTTCGTCGATTCTATATAACGGAGAATGTGAATGGTGGGTCATGGATATTGTGGGGGATTTATTTTTGTCACTGATGATGAGGTTCGCTCAGCACCAGTTCCGAAGTCGAAGGCGAACCGTGTCCTGAAGACAGAAATATCGCCGGAGCAATATTCACTTCATGTTGCAGATTTCGCAGGCTGATAATCGCATTCAGTGATGCACCACACGTACCATACAAATTCCGAAAGACATCTAATGCCGTCGAATTTTTCTCCAAGTCATAGTTTCGCTGTGATCCTGATAGCTGTGTCATTCTTTGCATTACTGTCTTTCAACCAAGGCAATTTGGCAAGGTCTGCTCATCGCCTTACTGTTTCGTCGTTTCTCTTACTTAAATTACTATCTAGGGCTTGTTAAATTACTCATCTCTCAATGTCATCAACTTCATGTGCGACGTCTATGGCGCACCAGCATTCCCAGAAGATAAACTAGTCACGCTATCTCCGAAGACACAACTTCATTGGTGCCGACAGTTTTGTTCTGAGATAATTTACATAGCGATGATGGATGCTCGGCCCGTTAACAACCTCAGCTTCTTGAGGATGTTCGGTTGAAGATCATTGGACAGTGAGCTGGCCCATGCATCACAATGTCCCGGCAATGATTGACTTTTTCACAGGCTTTGGAAGACACGCACATCCGAAACCAAACTCCGTATCCAGCAAATGGTTTTGCTCCTGTTGACAGTGGCCCAACCTCGACCGCTTCACGGTCCTCCCAAGATACAACCGCTGACACGGATTCTGCAGCCAATGTTGTCTCTGGCTAGGCGTCGATCCTCCGGACAAAGAAAGCAAGGACACACTCCAAACGGCGTGCGAAAGAAACATGGGGAGGATTTTCAAGTGCTGCAGTCTTACACCTCTCTCCCAAGTCAATACCATGTCTTCATGGATGGAACCATTTGTTATAAGCTCAAAAAAATGGTCAGGATAACGAGTATTTTGCATATCTGATTCTAATTTGGATTACAGATGACGACACTTTGACAAGTATGCCGATCCTTCAAGAATGAAAATTCTTTACGACGACAACCTATGATGAGCTGTGGACGGCGACAGAAGCGAAACCGGCCACCATCGCATTCGTGGAGACTTTAGCTATTCCTCGATTTTGTTCCGAGTTCCAACGTTTTGTCTGAGAATCGGCATGATACGACGTGTTCCATGACCATTTTGTTCCAGTACCTCAATTAATGCATATCCACTGTCGGTAGTGTTACCCATTGCAACACGTGTATTCGGAAATGCGGGCGGTAAGATTCTGTTCCAACCACCTACTATCCGGCAACGTGTCCACCAAATACACCGGCTGCCGCTGTGCGGGAAATTTGTGCCTATTTATAGGGTGCTCCCTTTTTTTTTCTGTGGAATGGCTCTATATACCCATCACAGCAGGGGTCCCTTCCGTCTAGCAGAAGCTGCACGCCAACGACGTTGTACTCGGCCCGTTGGTAAGTTGGGGTCTGATAACCCCGCGAGCGTAAATTATGGTGAGAGTATCCGTTAATCCGGTTTCAGACTTCTGAAGGCGCCGCGTATTTTAACTGTCCACTCGAGGTAAGGGTGCACCTCTTATCATCACTGGTAACGTTTCCACGGCTCAACTCGACTCGACTTCGACTCCGAAGTCGAATTAAACCTTTGTTAAATCTTTTGACTTTGGCTTGGCTCAGCTAATGCTAGGATTCCTCGTTGGACTCATCGGGTGGACACAATCTGCATGCAAGTGGATATCTGAATGTCTGAACTGTTTCTTAACTAGGGTTCTAAAAGTTAAAGACAATCGACCCACATTGAAAGATGGCGCAAAACTCTTGGAAAGATTGGAACCGCACCTCTCAGGATATGGGACCACGCGCCATGGGAGATCGACGGTTCGAGATTGCCTGGGCCGCATGACCTACTACCAGTTAGACTTGTTTCAATTTTTCTTTGAACTAGACCTTGGCAAGTGTTGCAATATATCGGAAGGTAAATTTGGCCAACTTGGAACTGTTCCAGCACGGTGGAACATTTCATCGGACATAAAATGCTGTAGAAAAATCGAAGAACTTTTTCAAAGCCCATCATTATGTGGTTCTTGTCTCTCCTTACTATACTCGCTTCCACCGTTGTCGCTCAGCAGCATAATACCAGCCCGTATGTCGTCGGATCGGGTGGTAGAGGCTGGAAGTCGTTCCCAGAGGTTATTGATGCTACTGCATATCCGGAATGGTTTTTAAATGAGACGATAGGGGCTTATATTGTGCGTCCTTTCTCGCTTGTGGTTTCTTCGCCTCGTAATGATTAGCCTGCATACCAAACCACTGGCCTCGATACGAAAAACGTTAAGAGGGCAGTTATCGTCTTGCACGGAAGGGTTCGTTATGTCCTTACTCCGTGCGACCCGAGCTGACGTTGTTGCAAGGCGCGAAGATGCTGGCACGGTGGGTTTCCATCCATGTATAAAGTAACGCCGAATCGATAACTCAAGTTACCCAAACTAGATTGGACTGCCGCAAACAATGCACTGTACCAAGCGGCCTACGACGATCACACCATCAAACGCGAAGAGATATCTATCTTGGCACCATGCTTCTTTGACGAAAATGACCTGAAAGCGGGCGCAGCGCGGCAGGGTCAGCTCCTATGGCCAACGACTCGGACATGGATGGGCGGACATCGTAATGTTGGACCGATCTCAATATCCAACTACAGCAGCTTTGATGCCCTCGATACTTTAGTTGGCTATTATATGGACAAAAATCTCTATCCTAATTTGAAGGTGGGCCTCTACTTTCGCTGTCAGCTATCCCGCTAAATATATATTTCCAGGTCGTCGTCGTTGCGGGTCATTCAGCTGGTGGTCAGATGAGTCAGCGCTATGCTGCCCTGAGGAAATCGACTGAGAACGATGATCGATTACATTTCTGGATAGGTCAGTCCGTAATGCGACAAAACCCGTATTGTTCATTCACACGGGTGTAGCCAATCCGGGATCACTATTGTGGTTAACAACAGACCGTCCGTTTCCTGACGGCACGTGTGATTATGATAGGTACAAGTTTGGTTTGGCCTCCGGTTTCCCCCGCTATGCAACGGACGCACTGGTTCTCGGAAGAGAAGGCATCATTGAGAGATACAAGGGGCGCAAAGTCAGTTATGCCTGGGGGCTGGTGAGTGAGACTCGTATAATCTTGGAATAGGCGCCAAATGTATGTTTTCAGAACGATCATGGCAATACGGATAGACGCTGTCCAGCAATGGTAAATTCTCCTCTTCATTCGCTTTTTTTACAATGATAAATGGCTCCTCATAGACTCAGGGAAGCACTCATGTACAAAGGGGCAAGAAGTTTGTTGCGATGCTGGAGCATATGGGTGATATACCTAAACTCACTACCGTCGATTGGATACCCAGCGTAGGCCATAGCACCGAGAGAATGATGTCAAGCGATGTGGGTATCGATAAGGTGAGTGTATACTTCTGGCGAACCTATTTCCCTACTGATTCATGGTTGGACAGTTGTTCCGGCACACGGAAACTGGCTCGGGTGCTTCGACCGGGGATTAAAAGTGGAATCGGGACAGCACACGGTCACTGTTGGCTTGCAACTATTGCTTAGACACCTCCAAAATGTGATAATACCAGGCAGTCAGAAGGATGACAATGGACATTTGTTTCGTGACAGTGGTATAGGACACTTTGAACACTTAGATAACGATACGAAGTTTACATAGAACTGAAATGCCACATGGTATATGTTTGCTTGGATCAGATGGATAGTGGCTGCTTGATTTTCGAGAGTGAGAGAATGGAAGCAATGGATGTCTTTACGCTCTCCCCACCATTTTCGGTTCCATAATGATATCCAGGCTCTATATATAACGATTCCATCTCTGTTCATGATCTATTGGGTGTCAGGACTCGTCGGCGAAGACAAGGGGTGCACAGAAAGTTCGGAAATCACTGTTCCAGCTACTAAAAGCATGTAGAATGTGTCGTAGTGACAAGGTCTTTGACATGTGCCCAGCGAGTACTGGCAGATGGAATGAATCATCGTGGAATGAGCGAAGATGAGACGGCACGTTCGGCGCAGATGTGAGAGCGAGGCTGCTTGTGACGCATGCTGAGCTGCCTTTCCTAGAATCTAACACCAAACGCCATCCACAATATCTGTCGGTATAGATAAATAACAGACTAAAGTGAGTCAACTTTCTGTCTTTCCTGGAGTATAGCCGAAAGGATCGTCCACAATATATTTGGGTATAGACAAAGTTACAGACCTAAAGCGAGCCAAGTTTTCGTGAACAAGAACGCGATCTTGTTGGGAGGCAATTTATCTCAACTGGCTATTTTAGGAAGTGTGATTGTATAGGTATTGGGTTCACGAAATACACCAAGGCCAGAATTACAGAATTTTCGGCATTCCTTATCGCCCACGATACCAAGCCGTCGAAGTCGGAGAGCATGATTCAGTATCACATCAGTAGCAACAGAAGGAAGTGGCTTTCTGAAATATTTCTTGAGTTTTGCTTGAATTGTAAGGTCACCTCCGTAAGGTCACTGAAAGAAAGGTGTTGGAAGCATGATCTTGTATACCTAGAAATTGATCAATTTTTAGCCAGGTTCGAAGATTTCTATTAGTGACGAACAAGTAGGCTAGACAAGTTAAAAGCTTTCCCGAACTCGGGTCGTGAAAGTCCGATCAAGGAACTTGCCGAACCCGGTTTCCAGTACTCGTATTCGCCATCATGATCGTGGGTCTTTCTTTCATTTCACGCAAGTCGTACTCGTAAGGAACTGCAAATAGATATCGATATACGGCCGCTCTAATGTTCGAATAAACGCAAAATGCCTGGTTTCGGAGTTCAGTTATGATAATCCTTGGAGGCCTTGGCAGATACTCACCTGTTGTCGTTGAAGGTGCCTCAACGGTGGCGACACCTTCAGCTACGGTACGCGTCGACACCAAAGAAGACACAGATGCAGCGACAACCGTCCTGACACGAACATTCATCAATGATTTCGCCATGAATTTGTATGGCTGCATCAAGAAGAGAAATGCGTCTACCGACATTGATTCCCGGGACCCTGGAGTGCAGCGGACAGTGAAGAATCTCTGGCGTTCTCAGAGGTGCTTGATGATAATGACGATGCTGGTAGGCGGGGTTGTTACCCTTGCCGTGGTACCGCAAGGTGATGGGAAAGGAGAGAAAGTTGTTGGGGTAGCAGTGTAGCTTCAGCCCGGGGCAGACGTTTCACATGCCGCTGGGAAAGTTGCTGAAATCTGGTGCGGGGTCACTGCTAAGCGGCCGGGGATTCCGAGGGCTCAAGGTATGTCACCAGTGTATTGGCAAAGGAGACCGATATTCACCTCATTCTTTTTCTAGCGAGTTTTTCTGGACTATACTTCTCCTGTTGAGAAAACGATCTCGAAGGCCTTCAAGGGGCGAAATATGGATAGGCTCGATTCTTGGCATCTGATGGGAATCGTGGTAGATCCTGACTGGTAGGGAAGAGGTATGGTTTCCTGGTGCTTGATACTTTTCCTTCGCTTATCTTAGCTTATTCAATAGGTGTATCTTCATTCCTCATGAGAGATGGCTTTGCTCGCGCAAAGTCTAAACCCGTCCGCCTAGAAGCTTCGAGCGCCAAGAGTCGTGATATCTATGGTCATTTTGGCTTTGAGACGAGAATATCAGCTGGGTCCTTTACCGGTGATATAACATGCCTTATCACGTATTTGGGAAAGGTCGGGTGGATCGTCATGGGCTGCGGGCCAAAGGTGCTGAAGCGACAGGCTTTTCTGAATGGGTCACGACGAAGGTATGTGCATGGAGCAGTCGGGTAATTGTGTTTGCGCCTAACTTTTGCCTGTAGTTGGAGACGTGAAAGAAACAAGTGAATAGAGGCTGCCTTTACAACAATCAGCTATGCTCACCTCCTCAGTGGTGCCAGTAGCTGTTTGATTGCAGTTGCACACCGTCTCGACCTTTTCCGTCGACCGCCATCACAGGGTATTATAGCTACATTATAGCGTAGAGGTTTTCCACTATAAATAAAGGCAATAAAATCCAGGAGAGATCAAAAAAAGTCCGGCTATTTTGGGACTCGAACCTGAGGATGTTTATTTGTGATGGGCGATCAACTTTGACAGTAACGACGACGTCCATCTTTTTTTTTAATCGTTGCTGGTCAACGACGCCGACGCTGCAATGCCACGGTCTCGGTCGCTAAAACATATTTCTGTTTCATCCGCAAGCTCTTTCGCAGATGCGGTGATGTCACTGACACCACGAACGCCCCAATATCGATCTGGACGAGCTGAAGAAGGGTATACCCAGGACGAGCTGCGAGAAATGCATGGCGAATATCCAGAGGATGATCCACAGTCGTCCGCTGCGCCTCTGCTGTCGGCAGGTAGTCCACGTACGGATGAGCCAAAGGGCGGAAAAGCAATGGCGGCGACGGCCGCTTCAAAGCTACCAATTGTGTTCCTCTCGTTCGTCGCAGGATTCATTTTCTTCCTCACTGTCGTCGAGTATCGGCGTCCTGGGACGCTGGAATGGTATCTGGGCATACCAATACCGTCCTTCGAGCAGATGCCGGCCTCGACTGGGAACCACGACGACCTCAATTCTTCGCTTATCATCTCATACGAAAACTATACCAGCTTTCCGCTCAGCACTCATGACTACCTTGTCGAATGCTACAAGATGCATCCCGGTGGATTCATGCCGTCTACAAGGTTTTGGGAGCCAACAGCGGCGGGGTTGATGGATGTCGTGCACGGCGAGGACAAGGATGTATGCTCCAGCACCATCACATATATGCTGGATGGAAAGATCGGGCTCGTGGCGGATTTGGCGTTAATGGCACAGGCAGCTGCACTGGCGCGGGAGGTACATCTTGTTCGAATGTTCGATCGACGCATATATTCACCTACAGCCAGCGGAATAGGACCTTCTTCATCGACGATACCTACTGGAACAGGGGAAAGTGCGTCCCTCAACTCTGTGCTAGTCTCTTTCTCTGATATTCTCGTACAGATGGCTTGACCATTTCCAAGACGTCAGAGAGACACAGCCTGGTCCGGAGCCTGGCTGTAAACAACCGCCACCACAAGGTCTGTTCGAGCAGTTATCACAGGGTCTTCGACTTATGAGGGTTCTGTAGAATATGTTGCTTGTCCTAGACATGCAAGGTATGCGAACTCGTCATCTCTCCTCGCTTGCAACATCTGATTCATCCTCACAGACACTGGGTAGATTTTCTTTTCGTGTCCAAGGAAGAAATACTTCTAAGCAGGCCCTTAGATTATCACTTCGCGAACCGCCAAGTTCCATTTTGGACAGATGTATTATGAACACTATGAAAATGGGTAAGTGGTGCTGCCCTTTTCTTCTCGGCCGCGTAGCTAATGTTCGCCATTAGATATGCACAAAACACTAACCGTCTTAAACCTATCTATGACTTCGCTGCTGGATCTCTGCGGAATACAATAATACCCAATATTGAAAACGCTCGACTCATCAGCTCTGCACGAGCAGAGGTCGCTGTTTTATCATCTATGTATCTCTCCGTACACCTTCGCCGTGGAGACCGCAAACCCTCCTCGTACGCGTATCACGGGGGCTATGTTCCAACGAATGACTTTGTCGACGCGCTAGACGATGCGGCTAGAAGGCTGCAGCGTGGTGACCACCCTTCCCTCGTATACCTCGCATCGGATTCACCGACGGCACTGGAAGAGATATCTACCTTATTACCTTCCGTCTATTCGCTGTCGCGGAGTGCAAACGCAGAGCTGAAAAGCCTCGTCAGTCCCGGGGAATATTTCCAACGGGACTTTGACAAATACGACCTGGAGACAAGAATTAGGGCCACGCGAGGCATGATTGTGGACTTTGCACTCCTCAGTGGGGCATGGAATGAAGCAGGTCCTGACGCTGTTGTTTGTACCGTAAGGTGTGTCAGTTATCCCGCTTTATTGAGTGTGACTCTTAGCTGATAACCATTTATATAGTTCTGCCGTATGCAAGTTATCTGCTGTGGCACTTGGTTGGGAGAAAGCTTTTGGACATCTCGATAAGTATGGCCTTATCGACAGGCAGTTGATGAGTTGGGTTGATGTCGACCAAAAGGGTCGCATCATACCGGAATGGGCGGCATTCGATCTATTCAACTAATTGGCAGCCCCTTTGATAGCGAACCATTGTTTGCGCCATTGTCCAGATCTTGAATAAAGCATTCGCGTCACCGCGTTTAATTCTTATCCTTTTGCCACCATGTCGTCTGCTGTTCAACGTCCGAATTTCTTCGAGACCTATAGACATCTCGCATCGTCGAACGATGCTCCTCTCGATTGTAAACTCATCGGCAGCTGCCAAGCTCTACCGGAAGCCCAGACATCGCTGAACGCTTTCAAGGAACAATTAAGTTGGAATGGGATGATGAAGATCTAGAGATGCTTATACAGTGGAATGGTCATGAACTTGAGGAGGCGACACTTATACGACTTCGTCAAGCGCCACCTACCCATCACGTTCGCCATTCGCCGCCTTCCCTCAGAGATCATCGCGGAAATCCTGCCTCCCGCTCGCCCGCGATGGCGTCACACTGAGGATTACCCAATTGTTCACGACACAAGCCATGCTTCTTGGAGCTACAGCCGTGTCTCCTCCCTATGGCGCACCATATCGTTGTCCCTGCCTCCTCACTCTCGACGAAGTGACCGCGGCCCAGTGTCCCCCCTCCCCGGCTTCACGGGTTGAAGCCCTGGCTGGAGCGTTCGAGGGAATAAGATCCTCCGAATTATAGGCAATATCCAGGATGAAGCTGTCATATCGCAATATGGGGATATGATAAGGGTACTTGTCACTGAGAGTCACCGAATGGGATGATGTCTTTGCGTGGAACGTGATGCCGCTCAGACGTACTGTACAGGGAGACGAAATAGCTTCTTGTCGGCAAGAGACTCGCAGGGCCCCGCAGGCCAAGATATTCTGCGATCTAATCTCCGGGCGTACCACCTTGGGGGGTTTCCGACGTTGACGGCGATCCTTTTCGACTTTAATGATGCGCGCTCAACTTCGAAACGTTATCTTTGGGTTATCAAAGTTCCAGGACCGGACGAAAAGTTGCTGGTGCTCAACAATATTGAACGCTTGGAGATTAATCGCACGAGCTTCAACTTGATCAAGTACTTGATGTTGTCCCTCCCTGAGTCGTATTATCATGACGTTGAGCTTTTGGGCGGCCGCGGGGTCCCTTCGTCGGTCGGTCGCAATGTGCCCTGAAGGTATTGTCTATTCGCGATTTGCCCCTTTGGACGCGTGTATGGTTGGACTACACGTGTGTAAATTGGCCAGGAGCGGATGAAGGATGCAAGAAAATGGCAAATGAAGGAATATCAATAATTTGAAAATTCTAAACGTGGGACTCGCAGGACGTCGCGAAGCGGTGTGACACCGACGTGATGTGCAGTTCGTCGGGTCCTAGGCTGAAGCTATTGTGACCCAAACGCGCCTTGTTCGAAACTACCATGGCAAGCAGGATACATTCCGCTAAATCTGGGAGCAGCTGGACGATGAACGATCTGCGATCGTACAACATAACTATTGTAAACGGCACTGTACCAACCTTCTTCGGAATTCCCAACCTTCCTCAATCCACCGTAGACCCTATCATTTTAGGCAATCTCAACATGCCTCATGGACAAATACCCAAGTACCTGTCGACTCTTCTTCAACTACTTTTTAACATATGCTATGGGGCGACTGCCAGGAGTTTCACCAACAGAATCTACCGTCGAGGATTTTTCCCTTCTTTTGTTCGACTACGACGATCACGATCGTGTCGTGCATCAACAATTGGAGATCAGATTCCTCATGGGTGCCACACGTGTTAGTGCTATGCCGAACATCTGTGTTACGGATGCTCAATGCACAAGAAGGAGAACAAGGTATGTCAGGATACTGCGATCAAGAAAGTAAGTTGCTAATCTGAACCATTTTCAAGCAATATGAATATTCCAAAGATCCAGTGTCCCCAGCTTGTGGCAGAGGCCGTTGCGGCGTTTTCCCACAAATAATCAACTTCGCCGACTGGCAGGACTCCCGGCCGTACAGGCTGAAACATTTACTGGGATCGGTTTGAGAGGAACCGCTGGAGCGTTTTACAAGACCCCAGTCACTGCTGACTGACCTCCTCCGCTCCATTGAGAGAACAGTTTCCTCCCCAGCAAACTGTTGTCCACCGGCTTGTCCCTCCCGTTCAATATCCTGTCATGTTTTTGCTCTGCTGATCTTCCATAGCTTCTATAGCGTCTGTGTCTTATGTACCTTACCCCGGTTGATCTCTGGACTTGCCTGTATTATTATGGCATTTTGCCTCAAAGTGTTAGAGATACGCCGAAATCCATGTACAGTGGGAGCGGGAGGCAAGGGATAATGATTGAAGCGAGCGAGGTAGGGTAGATTAGAAAGATGTATGTCGTTAGAAAGTATAATAAATTCCGGCAAGGGCTCCTGAGTTAACCTGAAAGATCCAGTTTGCGAAATAAATGAAGACAGTAAGCAGCGCGAAGCTCGACTGGATGTCGGAACCATGTTAGAGCTGGTGAACAAAGTTACGATATTATATAGCGAGTCATGGGAGGTATCGGCCAAGAGAGACCAGACCTTGCTAAGCAAAACGGTTGGAGCCCTAAACCACACGTGCAATCAAACGCAGCTTATTTTTGAAGCCATCATGGCCAACCTCATACGTTCCGCGAAATGTGCGAGCGACTGGACGGAGTACAAGCTAGATGCGTTTAACATCACTATCAATGACAATGTAAACGAGGACGTAGCCACTTTTTTTTGGAAATCCCACTTTGCATGCACCCGCCGTAGATCCTATCATTCTCAACAATCTCGACATGCCTCCTGGACCAATAACCAAGTCCACTCGACTCTTCTTCACTTACTTGGACAACACCACGCGGCTATTTCCCCCAGATGCACGAAAGGAAGCGGCTGTCGATGATTTCGCCTCGTATCTCCTTGGTTTGGCTAGACTATGGATGAACTCAATCGTGTTATACACCAGCGCTGGATGGAGATCGGCTTCACAATGTGTGCTTGGAAAATAGGCGCATCATTCTGCAGTGTTTTGAAGCTTTTAAGCAAATTCCTTTAGTGTATGAGTCACGTTTGATGAATACAGCCCGTACCCAACCGTGCCCCTTGATGCTGACCGATAAATGTATAGATAAGTTAAAGTGCTTGTAATTATATTGATTCCGGTGTGCTGTTTCCGATTTTTGCGCTGATTGATAGGGATCTTTGCTTATTTAGTTTAAATGCATTACAAGGACTTTAGAGGACACAAATACCGTTCCGGAGATAAGATGGGCGAGAGCGGGGCGCTTAGCACTAACCAGCCTTGTTCGCGGGCATCTCGTCTAACGTTTATTAGGGTTCCAAGCCTTAACCCACCAGCAGCTGACCCAAATCCCCCCTTCCAAACGACTGACGTCTCTTACTATACCTACCGAGCAGTCACTGTAAAGGTACACCATCTTCCCCTTGGCTCTTGCCATCTTTCTGACATTCTAGTGCCTTTCCATTTTTAGGCATCCCCCCTCCGTAATGGCCCTTTTCTTCCCTCAGGAAATCATTGACACGATCATCGATGAATTGCAATTTAGTTCCCCATCCTCCCATCGCCACAGAAACCTGTCCTGCTGTTCCCTCGTTTGCCGTTCTTTCCTCTCTCGGTGTAGAAAACACCTCTTTTCCTCTATCGTCCTGGCCTCCGATGGACATCACTCGTGGAACGAATTCCACGATCGCGTCTTCAAAGGATCTCCCGAAATCATGCTGATGATCCACTCTGTTGTGTTGAGTTCGGGAGATGGTCATGATAAGATCTTATGCACGCTTCTCACAGCTATGTGCAATCTCCGCCACGTGGAGCTGGCCTTTGGGTTCCAGCCTAGGCGAAGCAGGGTGCTCAATGCGCTGAGATTTCACAAGCGTACCATCATATCGCTCAGGTTCGCAGATGTCACGTTTCAAAGCTCTGCGGCGTTTTTCGACTTCCTGGCGGCCCTTCCTGAGCTCCGCTCGCTCATGATCAAAGACTTGGATTATGAAGAAAACATGGGGATATACCCGGCACAGCGGGATAATAAGGGCCGCAGCTGTCGTCTGGAGAATTTTTATTTCCACGCATCGAGCTATACTCGAACCGGTGCGTTTAGGAAGCTAATCGATCACAGAGATATCGTACCTTCTCGCAATTTACGTCGGTGTGGCGTTAGTCTGTGGGACGGGGATGACCTCTTGAGAGCGAAAAGATTCTTGAACGACTCGCTTGATTGTCTCCACTTGATTTACAATACCCAGCGTATGTACCCTGCTACTCTGTTCTTTTTTTTTTGCGATGCGCTGACGATTGGAAACAGTGAACTTGTGCGATATCCTCGATATCCTCGATTTCAACCTCTTTAATCTCCCGCACCTCTCCATCACGACCTTCCTACCACCAAACTTTCGATACACTGACATGGATGAATTCGAGCGGGGAGTGAGGAGATGCGTCCTCCTCGATGGGCAGCTCGCACTCGAGGAGCTCACCTTGCGTCTCTATCCAAACTTGGAGAGCTGCGCCACCCATAGCCTATGGAGGGTTTTGGACGCATCACTTTCAAGTCCGTGCTTTCCGCGATTCCAGCATCTGGAGGTCGAGTTGATCTATTCCACTGACCGCGGGCTTACGGACGACGGCGGGATGACGTCGCAAACTATCGGGGAACAGTTCTCGGCGTTGAAAGGGAGAGATGGTGTCCGTTTCAGTTGCCGCTATTCTGACGGCGACTTTGATGATAGTCGATTTGATATCTCTCATGGCCTACTATCTTGAATGTCGGTTGTTTTATGCACCTTTCGCAAGGCTGGATTATGATATTGATGAAAATTTGCAGTTATATATGTAGAGGAGTAAACGTTGGCTGAGACCTGGTCTTTACTGGGGCTCCCTGCTCTGTTGACCTCTTTATGCCACCTCCTTCATAGCAGTAATGATTTTTTCCCCCGGTATTCTATCGAGGTTTCGGTACCTTTCAGTACACTTTGCCTTCGGAGATTGGGGTGCCAACTTCGCTTCATTCATGCTGCTCACCGAGTCGTTCGGCTGTAAATGGGATAAAGGATGTTAATTGTTAGCTGGAGTCAGTCGCAGATCGTTACTTCTTCTGTTGGCCTATATTTACAAGAGACAATCATGCTTATATGGAAGCGATAAATTGTCCAGAAAACGGGAAATACATACAAACGAGTAACAGCAGCCGACAAATTCAATTTAAATTCAAATTGACTCGGCATTCGCCGTTGTTGGATTTTTACTGAAACGCGACATTTCTTTACCAGTACGTGCTTTGAACAAAAATCTTCTATATGTCCTTAACATTGAAGCTATGATATAACAGTTCCTTTTCTATCACCGGATGGCTGTATCTGTCCCGTTTCGTGCTCCACCATAGATCATTGTTTCCTGGCAGGTGTATACGATCCACTTACCGGCGCGATGTCCCCATCCGACATGTCGTTCATCGAAGAGCAAAGACCAGCTCCTATCGACCGACTTTTTGTTGAAATTCTCATTTACATATTTCATATGTGTGTTCTCGACCGCGGTTCTTACTTCAAGCGTCTTGGTGTTAATGACTACCAGAGGGGCCCCTGGAAGCTTGGGCAAATATGCTCGTCCTGGAGGCAAATTGCCAACAACACGCCGACTTTGTGGAAACATATATCACTTGCCGATGCTGGAGTCGTGAAGGATCCCGTGTCTAGATTCAAGGTAGCATTGAAGCGCTCTTCCTGCCTTGCCCTGGACCTGGAGTTATCCCTTAATGACAGGTATCCTCTCGAGGTGAAGAGTACGATCTATCAGCTCGCTATTGCTCAGTCGTGGCGGTGGGATCTCTCCACCATCGCCCCTAATCACAAAGTTATTTCTTTTTCGTTCCTAGCGGGGATGAATTTTGTCCTGATGACGCTCTTCCAGGTCTTTTGAGCTTCCTCCAGCGCTCACAATATTCTCGCGTATCACTTGAGCTCGTCGATGTCATCTTCACTGACATTATTTTTGAGATTCTCCATTGCACCCCACACATCAACACTCTCAAACTTTCCACACAAAGCTGGGCCACCGGCTATGATCGCATATTCAAAGCCCTCATTGACCTCTTGGCTTCCCATCCCTCTACTCAGCAAAGCTTTTTTCCTCTCCTCGGGAATCTTCATATCACTATCGATGATCTCCTCATAAAAAAGCCCTGTTCTTTCGTTGATCATGTTTTCTTTGACATGGTATCTGTGAGATGGAATACTAGGATCTTGTCGGCCGTCGCCCTGGATATATCAGGGCCAGGGAAGGACTTGAGTTGGGGATTGACTCAGGAACATATCAAAGAGTTTCGCAAGTACCAAAACGACGGATTGGATATCAAACTTACTGTCTTACATCGCGATCGCGAAGCTAAAGCCCTATGCCCTATAAGAAAGAGATACATCTAAACTTTAAAGGTCGTTCGTCCGTATCTAGTTGCCTAGGCGTTTCGCTATCTCTGCGTATCCGGGCGATTGATCGTGCCGAAAGTGATCGAAAGTGGCTCTCCCACCGCGAGAAGAACGCACCCTTACTAGTAAAGTGATGTGCAGCGGTCCCGCAGGAATAAGGTCATCAATAGCATGATTTGGGAGAGCCAACGTCTCGGGAAGTTATGTTACGTTGCCCTTGAAACCCGAAAGATGTCGATGTCTGGTGGGCGGGTTGGTTATTATGCATTGGTCCATTGCAAGGATGTGAAAAACGATGGTCAATTATTACACCCCGCGCGAGGCTCGAACTCACAACCTCAGAAGAAGTAGATTCTATTCTCTGCGCAAGGAGCGATTCTCCTAAAGCTACATTGCACAGGAATCTAGTTCCATGTATCTCTGATGCTCTATCCTGTTGAGCTAGAGGGACACAGAAGCAGATGAACGGACATGAGGTTTGTGGATATTTTAGAATCATGGAAGAAGGAAAGATGACATGGGAAAAGCTGTGGATCCCGCGTGATGAGCCTACAACAAAGTGCCCGCCCGACCTATTTTGAATGTCGTGAATTTTTCATTACTCCACACAAGGCTGGATCATAATACTTATGTCTGTGCTACTGCAGCAGAAGCTATGTTGCCAAGGAAAGAAGCCTGTCTCTGCAATCTACTGGCAGCGGGGGAATGGGTGGCGAGAGAATGTGATGCAAACCTGAAGTTGAGATTAACCGTCGATAGATACGTGATAAGGAATCACATACAAAGCGCTGATGTTTCCACCTACTCCAGAGACGTCAGCAGAGACAGTCGAGCGCATCACCAGAGGCCCGTACTGAAAATGACCAGGTTCCGTATTTAGCCGCCTCGTAAACTTTGCACACGCGAGCAATTGTTCATGCTGAAGAACATTGTAGATACTAAGTATCTCAGTCCCGGCGCGAGAAGAGCGCGCAGTCTGGAAGGATAAAGTCATCATGTGCCTTTGGAACAAATAGCATATATATGCTTCTGCAGAAGGAAGGAAGCTATGTTTATGAAAGCGATGTGCAGTAGTCCTGGAGGAATAAAGTTATTAATAGTATGCTTCAGCAGGGGAGTCAAAGTCTCGGGAAGTTATGTTAATTTGCCCTTGAAACCCGATGAGGGTGGTATTTTAACACTACCAGATGAAAGATACATTTGAAGATTGTGAAAAATTGACCCAGGATGTGTCCTATATATATATAGGACTATTGAAAAAAGTCGGATTACCATTACGCCCAGCTTGGGATTTGAACCCACATCTTCAGAAGAGGCAGATTCTTCCCTTGTAGAAAGATCAGCTACTCAATAGCAGCCGATCGTCCCAAGAATCATCTACCTTTGATCTCTGCTGCTCTATCCTGTTGAGCTAGCTGGGCATGGAAGAAATAGAATGGACCCGAGCTTTATGGATGTATTGGAATCACGGAAAAAGGAAGGACAGCATGGGAAAAGATGTTGTTCCCTCATGGCGAGCCATGCAGTCAAAGCGCCCATCTGACCTATTTTAAACATTGTGAATCTGGATAATATTACTCACATTTGTTGGGATCTTATTGTGTTCTCAGTAAACATCAAAGACCTTCCTTTGTCCTGCCACTATTTAAATAGTGTAGCCTCTTGTTCTACTTCTTTCCTCAGTCTGTTTATGCACCATCATGTCAAGACTAAGGTAAGGCATTTACTATTCCTTTTGATTTACTTTATTTACAATGTCATAGTTACTCTTCTTACAGGTTCAGATTCTAACAGGTTATGGATGTTTTTTTCTTTGAGCTATAAGCCAAGAAGTTACTATTTGAATCTGATTATGACTCAATTTGACATGCAAATATGAACTTTTCTTTGCATTTTGGACTATCAGTGTGCAAGCCATTGAGCTACCATAACAAACCCTACTGAAACCACAACCCTCAGCACTATGACTGCTCCTTCTCCTGTTTCTCTATTACCCACCAATGCCACAAAACCCTTTATATCAGTTGTCACCATTCAAAGCTCACTATTTATTGCCATAAACCTCAACAAGAAAATCAATAATTGGCAAGAATAGAGTGATGATGTACTCAATTGTTTAGCAATGTCTGGAGACATTGATGAGCATCTACTTGATTGTCTTCTTTACCCTGATAAATCACTTGAGCTGCATGCACACATGAATTGGCAAACCAATGATTGTACTATTTATGTCTTCATGAATCTGAAAGCTGTTAAAGCAGAGAAGAACCTCTTGTCTGGATATAAGCCATTGAAGATAGCATGAGACACTCAAGATGTGTCATGAACAAGAGGGACTGATTGTGCAGATCAACTTAATTCAAGAGGCACTTTATATTCACTATTCCTGATCTGAACACCTTGCTGTAACTACTGTCAAACTCATCAAGCTCAACATGCAAATTCAGAACATGTAATCTCTGACTCCTGACTTATTCTTATGTATTCTTATGCTCAACTCTCTCTCTCTGGAGAACTTGCCTCTATCCAGACTTCCATCATCCAACCTATCAATCAATCCACAAAAGCTAATCCTATCATATTATCTGATATTCATAGGAATCTAGATATTCAACAGCAACTGTTCAACACTGCTCTCTCAGCAACAACCACCACAAATGCTCAGTCTCATGGATGCAATATAGTGGTGGGCACAAACACTTGTATCAACCCCAAGTGCTCAACTCTGAACAGCCATATGATACCCTATTGTGTGGCAGAAGGAGGTAGTATGGAGGGCAAGACAATTGAGAAGTCTAGGACAGCTAAAAGATATGACCAGGAGAAAAAGAGAACTAGAGATAAGATTAAAAAAAAGCTATGCTATCAATCATAAAAGATAATACTGAGAAAGCATACCTATTTGATGTGAGTGTTGGCTCTGTCACCCTCATCTCTATCTCTGAATCCTCTGAGAAGGCAGAATTCACTGCTCTTGCTTCAGATATCATCACTCTCATCTTTTTTCAATTGTTATCTCTAATCTCAGCTATTGAAGCAATGGATTATGAAGGCTGGCTCACTTTTGAAAAATGAGGCTACCACTACTGTTAACTAGACTGAAAGAAGGAGAGAAATTGACATTTCCATAGTGACTGTAGCATCACTTGACCAAATTTTTCATATCAGTCTTTTAATAGAAGACTACTCATACTTTCTGGACACTCTGGCTACCACCCACATTACATCAGACAGTCTGACTTCCTGATCCTAAAGGCAATTCCTCCCAAAATCATATGCAGTGTTGGCAACTCATCCATTGTAGCTCTTAGCATTGGTACAGTGAAGATATGGAATGCTTGTGGTATCAATATCCTTCTTGAGAATGTCTTATACATTCCAAATGTGACTGTTCATCTGATGTCAATCTCAGCTTTAGCCTATTTACAAATCACTGCTCATTTGGATGACACATCATACTGGCTATCATGTAAGAATACTGGTGCTATTATTACTTGAGAAACCCTTAGTCCCAAATAAACCCTATACAATCTCAACCTCTTATCACCTGAGATAGAGCATGTGATGATTGTGATAAAATATGAACTGGACCTTGAAATCTGGCACAAATAGCTTGATCATCTCAATTACCAAGCAATAGTCAAAATGATATAAATAAATGCTGTTGAAGGTATGTCTATCAATCTGTCCTGCATTCCACTAAAATGCCAATCATACATCTCTGAAAAACAGACAAAAACACTAGTATCAAAGAAATGAGATGAAGAGTACAAAGCAACATGGCCACTGATATGCTCAGTAACAGCAAGTGGAAAAAGGACTAGTGGGTGGCAATGAACTTCAATCAACACTAAAACCTCCCAAACTCTACACTTATCACTAATATATTGAATTCAGGCATTTTGAGTATGGTAGAAGCACTCTGCAGATTTAATAATCAAGAGAAGCATTGTTCAAAGAATGTTTATTCATTACTAGTGAGTTATACAAAGACACCACTCATTATTGGAGATAAGATATGATTATAATAAAAGTGATTTGAGTTTTTGTTAGGTCCAAGTTGCATGTGACTAGTAATATATGATAAATGATTGCTACCTCATGTTTGGGTATAACAGTCAAGTTCAGTGATACTGGTTGTAATGCAGTTAAAGCATTCACAATTTGCTCGAGATGAAATGGTAAGAATAAACTTTAGCTCGAAGCTGGGGTTTTACCAGCAAGAGTGAGCTCCTTAAATACTGAACATGATTTGCTAATAATACTACCTACTTATTGTATTTCTCTCTATCTCTGCACTTATTGTCTTGGAGTGTCATTACCATACATAAAAAGCTGTTTGTGTGTCATTGAGTAACACTGTTGTATCAAAGGACAATGACAGACTTGGTTAGTTGTGATGATTAAGCCTTGTCCCACAGTCCTAAGTGCTTGTTTTGGTGCCCTGACTAAGCATAAAATAGAGGTCAGATGAAGAAAAGAGTAGAAAATTGTAACATTACCCCTGCCTTAAGACCATCGTTCCAATGGCTTAATTTAGGGATAATTCATAGTTATGTATAGTCTCATTGGCATTTATCAGCTTCTCGTTTACCCACTGATTGGATTCCAGTCCATAACCCTTTCAGCTGACTAGATAATCAACTGTGGTCATCATCTCTTCCCCTTTTGCCTTGACTTTTCATAGTTTATGATTTAAAACTTGGTCAACTTTATAGTGTTCTTCATTGTTGATGAGGTCCAAGGGTGGTGGTGGCAGTCGTTCCTGGTTAGAGAACGTGGGTGAGATGTAGAGAGTCAGGATTGTCTCATTGAAGACATTGTGAACCTTCCAGGTATTGGGTAGTCAGAGTTTGTAAGTGCTAGCCCCCACTTTTGAGATTATAGTGAAGGGGCCAGTGTGCTTGTCTGCTAACTTGTGCTTGGGTTGTGGCAGGTGGAGGTTGGTGGTGTCCAACCAGACCTTGTCATTGATGGCATAATTATGGGCTGGCCAATGGTGTTTGTTGTACTGGATTTTTATGGTTTTGGCTGCCTTTTCGAGAGCAGCCTCAGTTTCTTTGTGGATTTTCATCATGGTAGCTGCAAAATCACCAGAGGTGGGAGTGGTCATTTGATGTCATTCAGTTTGTGCAATGTTGAGGTGTCAACTATAGTTAACAAAAAATAGGATTTTTCCCATTGCTGAATGTACCTGGTTATTGTGCTGGAAGGCAGCAAGAGCTAGCTATTTCACTCAGTCATCTTGCTGATAGTTTATGAAGAGGTGAAAATACTTTTCCACTTTTTGGTTTATGTGCTCCATTTGCCCATCAGTTTGGGGGTGATAAGCAGTAGATGCATTGCATTTAATGGAAAGAAGATGATAGAGATCATCAAGGAACTTTGAGACAAATTGAGGTCCTCAATCAGAGATGATCATCTGTGGCATGCCATACTTGGCATAAACTTTATCTCATAAGATTTTTGCCCATCCTTCAGAGGTCAATTCAGTAGAACAAGCAATAGAGATAATAGATTTTGAGAACTGATCAACAATGATGAGGATTGTATCATAGCCATTGCAATCAGGGAGTCTAGTGATCATGTCAACTGAGATGTGGGTCCAGAGTGATGACAGAACTTCATTTGGATGAAGCAGTGCAGCTTGAGCCTGAGTTGATGACTTGCCACATTGGCAGACTTTGCATGCTTTGATATATGCAGCAATATCATTCCCCATTTTGGGCCACCAATATTCCTGTAGTACTAGTTCCTTCATCTTGGCTATACCAGAGTGACCAGCTGTGGTGTGATCATGGCAGGTGGCTATGATCTCACCATGTAATGCCTGATTCCACAGGATATAGATTTGCCCATTGTAGCAGATTAATCCTTCCTCCTTTGTCATTCCCCACTCATGATTGAGAGATGGGGCTACTCATTGGTCCCACTTGTGGTTGTTCTGAGTCACACTTTTGATGCATTCATGGATCTCTTCTTCTGTTGGCATTATCATGGCTCTGAAATGTTTGGACCTTAACAATGTCACTCCCTCATTATTGGTCCCTCTCTGATCATGATCTGCCTGTCAGCTTAAGAGATCGGCCTTTTTGTTTGTCACACTGGCTTTGTAATAGAGTGTGTACTGGTACTGACTGAGTTCAGTGACCCATCTGACTTGCTGGCAGTTCAACTTTTGCAGTTGCCAAAAGTATCATAAGTTTTAATGATTGGTCCAGATCTCAAAAACTTTCATTGCTCCAATGAGATAATGCTGCTATTCTTCCAAGGTGAGCATAATGGCAAGGAGTTCCTTGTCATAAATCTTGTAATTTCACTCAGTGATTGTGAGTGCCTTGGATAAAAATGTGACAGGGCACCATTTCTTGTCTTGTTTCTGAGATAGGATGGCACTGATTGCTCTCTCACTTGAGTCTGC